TATATATATATACAGTGGGGAGAACAAGTATTTGATACACTGCCGATTTTGCAGGTTTTCCTACTTACAAAGCATGTAGAGGTCTGTAATTTTTTATCATAGGTACACATCAACTGTGAGAGACGGAATCTAAAACAAAAATCCAGAAAATCACATTGTATGATTTTTAAGTAATTAATTTGCATTTTATTGCATGACATAAGTATTTGATCACCTACCAACCAGTAAGAATTCCGGCTCTCACAGACCTGTTCGTTTTTCTTTAAGAAGCCCTCCTGTTCTCCACTCATTACCTGTATTAACTGCACCTGTTTATTAGAAAATGGAAGAAGTTCAAGATGACGGTCAATCACCCTCGGTCTGGTGCTCCATGCAAGATCTCACCTCGTGGGGCATCAATGATCATGAGGAAGGTGAGGGATCAGCCCAGAACTACACGGCAGGACCTGGTCAATGACCTGAAGAGAGCTGGGACCACAGTCTCAAAGAAAACCATTAGTAACACACTACGCCGTCATGGATTAAAATCCTGCAGCGCACGCAAGGTCCCCCTGCTCAAGCCAGCACATGTCCAGGCCCATCTGAAGTTTGCCAATGACCATCTGGATGATCCAGAGGAGGAATGGGAGAAGGTTATGTGGTCTGATGAGACAAAAATATAGTTTTTTGGTCTAAACTCCACTCGCCGTGTTTGGAGGAAGAAGAAGGATGAGTACAACCCCAAGAACACCATCCCAACCGTGAAGCATGGAGGTGGAAACATCATTCTTTGGGGATGCTTTTCTGCAAAGGGGACAGGACGACTGCACCTTATTGAGGGGAGGATGGATGGGGCCATGTATCGCGAGATTTTGGCCAACAACCTCCTTCCCTCAGTAAGAGCTTTGAACATTTATCGTGGCTGGGTCTTCCAGCATGACAACAACCCAAAACACATAGCCAGGGCAACTAAGGAGTGGCTCCGTAAGAAGCATCTCAAGGTCCTGGAGTGGCCTAGCCAGTCTCCAGACCTGAACCCAATAGAAAATCTTTGGAGGGAGCTGAAAGTCCGTATTGCCCAGTGACAGCCCCGAAACCTGATGGATTTGGAGAAGGTCTGTATGGAGGAGTGGGCCAAAATCCCTGCTGCAGTGTGTGTAAACCTGGTCAAGACCTACAGGAAATGTATGATCTCTGTAATTGCAAACAAAGGTTTCTGTACCAAATATTAAGTTCTGCTTTTCTGATGTATCAAATACTTATGTCATGCAATAAAATGCAAATTAATTACTTAAAAATCATACAATGTGATTTTCTGGATTTTTGTTTTAGATTCCATCTCTCACAGTTGAAGTGTACCTATGATAAAAATTACAGACCTCTACATGCTTTGTAAGTAGGAAAACCTGCAAAATCGGCAGTGTATCAAATACTTGTTCTCCCCACTGTATATATATTAATTTGCTAAAAATTCTAAAAATCTGTTTTTGCTTTGTCATTATGGGGTATTGTGTGTAGATTGATGAGGGGGGAAAACGATTTAATCCATTTTAGAATAAGGCTGTAACATAACAAAATGTGGATAAAAGTGAAGGGGTCTGAATACTTACAAATGCATAGACAGGCGTGCTTCTTTCTAAATCATATCCAAACAATTGAATTGGCCACAGGTGTTCTAGTGTCATCTCAAGGATGATCAACGGAAATTGGATGTACCTAAACTCAGTTAAGAGTGTCATCGCAAAGGGGTGTGAATACTTATGTAAATGTGATATTTCTGTATTTTATTTTCAATAAATGTATACAATAATCAAAAATATATATTTTGACTGTCATTATAGGGTACTGTGTGTAGATTGGTGAGACATCAGGCTGTAACACAACAAAATGTGGAATAAGTCAAGGGGTATGAATACTTTCTGAAGGCAATGTATCTTCTTGACTCCTGATTTACTGTATGCAACGGCTCAGGACTGCCCTGAATGTGTGCTCTCAACTAGTGCATCCAGATATCCGTTGGAAGTGAATCGTGTGTATATCTCCTGAACTGCAAAGCACTCAAGGCCTATACACTAATCCAGGATTGGCCAACCATTCTACTAGTCTGTTTGACACCAGCTCTGGAAGTCTTCCTCGCTGTGTAGTCACGTGGGTCACAGGCTACCATTCTACTGGACTGAGTGTGCAGGTTTTTTTCTCTAGCCCTTCTCAAACACACCTAGCCTACATGCTCTATCTAACACACATACTCATCAACGGCGAATGATATGTTTCTGCTAATGACAGACACTTCGAATGTATCAATAGGTAGGCCTACAGTGCTTTGGTTGACACTTTCAATCCCCTCACAGCCAGTAGCTTGGTTTTACTGTACATGAAACTGGCGCGAGTTTCTGCAACAAAGTAACACCATGACAGAACGAACAAATGAAACAATTGACACATCAATTGCATGTTTTGCGGTTACATTGTAACGGTTGGCAGGTGCATGTTAGTCACGTACTGCATTGCAACAATAACCCATGCCAACTATTTGAATGACTTTCCAGTGCGCGCCCTTTGCAGTTCATAATCCATCAGATTAATCCTATTTCCATCAAACAATAGACAACGATCAAAAACAATGCACACCATTCACAGTTGCCAGCGGGTGCATCCACATACCTTGAATTCGCGACTGTGTTGTGGGGTGTACTCAAACGTCCACAGAGCGCGGACGAGACCAGAAAGTTGCTCCGTGACTTCACCTGACTCCTGCTGGTGTCCCTTTCTTTGGATACAGACACCGTTTGTTGACTTCGGTTTATTCGGTTCAGTCGATTTGTCATTGGTACTGTTGTCCTCTCCACGGTATTGTTCCAATGCTAGATATTCAGCAAATAGCTCCGTGTTGCTCAGACATTGCAAGATAGCGTTCATGAAACAGGTGTTGCCATGGTTCTTGAGTCCGGCAACTCCGGGGACCTTGTCCCCGAATAGGAACCCGCCACAGTCACTGTCGTCGGAGGGGACAGAGCCACCTGTGGTGGCCGGGAATGGAACTGGCATCGTCCTTCTCTTCATCTTGATGCTCCTCGTTGCCGAAATGGGACAGAGTAGACAGGGTCCTGAGAACTCTGTTCATAAAGCTCCCCACCGAGCGCACAGAGCCCCTTCGGAAGAGCTTCTTGCTGAATGATTTTTTCTCTTTAGTGGCAGCTTTCGACATGGTCACAGTCGGCCTGGGGTTTCTCAATATTTAAATCTTACTAGAGAAAGAGAGAGAGCACCTCTGGACAATAATTGGATCAGTCTGTCATTTCCAATGGCAAAAGCCAACCACAGTGATAATAATTATTGATGTTATTGATGTTCCTCACTGATGACAGTAGTAGGCTATAAAACATTATTTGGGAGGAAAAAGTGGAGCATTTGAGGGTCTTATCACCAGCAGCCTATAGCCTGAACAAAAGACCCATGACATGTCTCTTGTCATCTCAATTAAAACACTGCGTCGGGTTGCATAAATATTCTCCATGGGGAGATGCTATCGTGTCACTCTAAATTAGGTAGCCTAGAGGGTCTCCACGCACGAGCAAATGTTTATAATCTCGTAGTCTATCAATTTAAGGTCATGCCATGCAGGTGTAACATTTAGGATGCCCAAAATGATCCGCGTTCATTTGAAAATCCGCGACTCATGATACTCGAACATCAACAGCAATAAATCAACCCATAAATTGGGACCACAGTGTACGGAGCTGGGCTCATGTTTTATTAAATAAACCGCAGCTCCACCTATATAATCCTATTCCAGAATCTTTAGAGAAAATAAATATTCCACGATATTGCCCAAAACTATTGTATTGCTGATGTTTATAGACTCGTGGATGTCCTTACTAAATCGCCCATACCGTGGAAGCGCTTGCAAAAGCGCTCTCAAACTGAAAAGCCCCCAGAAAGAAGCCCAAAGGGAAGCACAGTCCACCGCTCCCTCCATTCGGTATAATACTATATCCATCGTATATGCGCCGTAAAATGAACATCGTTCGATACCTCCGTTGCCAAGTTTAAAGCAGTATATCATCCTGTGATGGCTTATTTTCCTCCCAATTCATCGCAAGGCCGCTTCTCCTGTCTTCATCATCTGGAGTCACGGATACTGCAGGCAGGCAGGGCGGTGACAGGTGACGTCACTGCCAAACACTGATCCATGTTGGAGGAGGAGAGCAGGTAGCGGCATGTGATGCTAGCGGATTCTGCTCACTATGCTGACTGGGGTCTGTCTCACTCTACTTTCCTGCTGTAGGCCAGAACGCTCCACAAAAAAAAATCAGACCGTGACACATACACAGCTAGGCCTAATAAATAAATAAATAAATAAATATATATATATATATGTGTGTGTGTATATATAAAACTATATATATATATATATATATATACACATACACATATATACACACACACACAAACACACATTTGGCAAGATTCTCCGATAATTTGGTGCGCAGAAAATGCAGATCCTCACTACAGTTAGCCTATCCTACAACTGTTTTACGGCAGGCCAGGCAGGTAGGCAACTAGATTCAGCCGCAGGACGATTTTTGTCGGAGCAGATGGTCGGGGCCGGAGCATAATTCTAATAATTTGTACACTGCAAATTGACCACAACTAAGCCCCAAAATAGATTATATTTGAAAATAACAATAATTTCATACCTTTATTACAGACATGATCACATCTTTTAATTTATTTGTGGGAATACTTGGGAACAGACTTCCTAAATTAAACAAATTCTTAGCTGAATTCCTGGAGATGTTAGTATTAAAAATAAAATAAAAAACAGAAATCCCCCTCCAAATTAGGCTACTAAAAACTTTTGGTGGCCCCCCCAAAAAAATCAGTTGCAGGCCAATTTTGGCCGCCTGTTGCCAACCCCAGCAATACAGTATGTTATTTAACTATTTTCTGAGATGAACCTTCATACTGTTTAACATAGCCTTTGCAAACAATACGACCCTTGCTGTGGCAACAGCATCCTCAGTTAATCAGACATTTAACTTGAATCTTCAATTAACTTCATTATCAAAGAGTTGAAGACAAGGAGGCCATATGTTTATTAAATTAGTGGACAGATTCCAGTACATTACAAATAAGCAAAACCAATTCTACCCTGATTTACCCCCATATAAGTGTCAATTAACAAAAATGTACCATAATAGAAAACAATAGAAAATATACAACATAATAGCCAATAGTACGATGCCAAAGCAGTTTAAATATTTGATTTGAACATGTTGCTTATAGCTGTTTCATGATGGGAATATCCCCAAATGGATACTTCTCAGTTATGTCATACCAGGGGTCCAGACTCCAGATATCATATCTATAGAGGAAAGAGAGTGAGGAACAAGTGATTTGAGTAGGATCATAATTGTTACATTACATACTTCCATATTTACACTGCGTATTAAAAATTGTGTCATTTTATCATTTTTCTTTGTCTACATTCTAAGAGACTGGATTTGTTTTTTGGTCAAGTGTAAACATACTTGAGATCTGGCTGACCAACACAGGAGGTGAAGGACAATATTTGTGTTGTGACAAGAAAAAACTGGGCCCTATAGTTTTAATGTTTGACTTATGTGACAGGGACAGTGCACATTCATCAACTTTCTAGTGTTCATACAGTATCAATGTCAATATGCCAGAGTTAGCAAAATAGCTTATTTTTGTCCATAGTCTGTTACCTGTTTAGAGTGTGACCGTGGTCAGTGGTCCAGCCCTCTCAGGGCAGCGATGGTGGACACCAGTCTGCGGGGCAGCAGTTTGGCCATCTGTCTGTACTCCTCTGGCTTGGCCCTCAGCAGGGTCACTATCTGCTGCAGGGTCCTGGAGGGCTGCAGGCCCAAAGCATCCATCACATTGCTCAGGTAGTCTGTGGGGAGTTAGGAGACAGATGTTGAAGAAAAAACCATTGTGTGGCACTAACACACTGAAAACATAGTATGGACATACTATATTATTACCTATTAATGACTATATTATGTGGCAGGGTCTACAGACAATCACGGATTACAAAGGGAAAACCAGCCACGTCGCGGACACCGACGTCTTGCTCCCGGACAAGCTAAACACCTTCTTCGCCCGCTTTGAGGATAACACAGTGCCACCGACGCGGCCCGCTCACAAGGACTGTAGGCTCTCATTCTCCGTGGCCGACGTGAATAAGAAATTTAAGCGTGTTAACCCTCGCAAGGCTGCCGGCCCAGACGGCATCCCTAGCCGCGTCCTCAGAGCATGCGCAGACCAGCGGGCAGGAGTGTTTACAGACATATTCAATCTCTCCCTATCCCAGTCTGCTGTCCCCACTTGCTTCAAGATGGCCACCATTGTTCCTGTACCCAAGAAACCAAAGGTAACTGAACTAAATGACTATTGCCCCGTAGCACTCACTTCTGTCATCATGAAGTGCTTTGAGAGGCTAGTTAAGGATCATATCACCTCTACCTTACCTGACACCCTAGACCCACTTCAATTTGCATACCGCCCCAATAGATCCACAGACGATGCAATTGCCATTGCACTGCCCTATCCCATCTGGACAAGAGGAATACCTATGTAAGAATGCTGTTCATTGACTATAGCTCAGCCTTCAACACCATAGTACCCTCCAAGCTCATCATTAAGTTCAGGGAATTTGGTCTGAACCCCGCCCTGTGCAACTAGGTCCTGGACTTCCTGACGGGACGCCCCACCTCCACTTCGCTGATCCTCAACCCAGGGGCCCCACAAGGGTGCATGCTCAGCCCCTTCCTGTACTCCCTGTTATAAAAATAAATAATAATATGCCACTTAGCAGACGCTTTTATCCAAAGCGACTTACAGTCATGCGTGCATACATTTTGTGAATGGGCGGTCCCGGAGATCGAACCCACTACCCTGGCGTTACAAGCGCCGTGCTCTACCAGCTGAGCTACAGAGGACCACACCGTCACCCATGACTGCGTGGCAACGCAGGCCTCCAACTCAATCATCAAGTTTGCAGACAACACAACAGTAGTATGTCTCATTACCAACAATGACAAGACAGCCTACAGGGAGGAGGTGAGGGCCCTGGCGGAGTGGTGCCAGGAAAATAACCTCTCCCTCAACGTCAACAAAACGAAGGAGCTTATCATGGACTTCAGGAAACAGCAGAGGGAGCACGCCCCTATCCACATCGACGGGACCACAGTGGAGAAGGTGAAAAGCTTCAAGTTCCTCGGTGTACACATCACTGACAATCTGAAATGGTCCACCCACACAGACAGTGTGGTGAAGAAGGCGCAACATCGCCTCTTCAATCTCAGGGCTGAAGAAATTCGGCTTGGCCCCTAAGACCCTCACAAACTTTTACAGATGCACAATTCAGAGCATCCTGTCAGGCTGTATCACCACCTGGTACGGCAACTGCACCGCCCGCAACCGCAGGGCTCTCCAGAGGGTGGTGCGGTCTGACCAACTCATCACCGGGGGAACACTGCCTGCCCTCCAGGACACCTACAGCACCCGATGTCACGGGAAGGCCAAAAAGATCATCAAGAACATCAACCACCCGAGCCACGGCTTGTTCACCCCGCTACCATCCAGAAGGCGAGGTCAGTACAGGTGCATCAAAGCTGGGACCGAGAGACTGAAAAACAGCTTCTATCTCAAGGCCATCAGACTGTTAAATAGCCATCTCTAGCCGGCTACCACCCGGTTACTCAACCCTGCACCTTAGAGGCTGCTGTCCCATATACATAGACTTGAAATCACTGGTCACATTAATAATGGAACACTAGTCACTTTAATAATGTTCACATACTACTTTACTCATTTCATATGTATATACTGTATTCTATTGTACTGTATTTTAATCAATGCCACTCCGACATTGCCTGTCCTAATATTTATATATTTCTTAATTCCATTATTTTACTTTAGATTTGTGTGTATTGTTGTGAATTGTTAGATACTACTGCACTGTTGGAGCTAGGAGCACAAGCATTTCGCTACACCCGCAATAACATCTGCTAAATATGTGTATGTGACCAATAACATTTGATTATTACTATATTATTACCAATGCATCTCTTGTGGATAGACACACTTAACATAAATGGTATTGTTGCGTCTGTCAACAGTCTGTGGGATGCAACGACTAACGAGGAACTCTGTTCTGGTACGCTGATTTTTCACCACTGATCATTTGAACAAATCACAATTTTGCAGGTGCTAGCATATTTCTAATTTTATTGATGCTTTGGCAAGTTGGCCTTTTACAATGCATACTTGATGCTCTATTACTAGCAACATCAATGTAGTTACAAATAACTTTATAATTACAATAAATATTGTATGTATTGCTTCTTGGTTTACGTTAAAATCATCTGAAAATGTAATGAGTCTGTAGTTAAAAAACCCCAGTAGATATACCATTTTTTACTAAACAACCAACTCCAGATGATCATACGGCACCCAAGAAGCAATGACATACAGTACTTATAACCATGTTGGCTCCATGTACAAAATAGATCTAGAACTAGGGAACCATCTAGCATATAGATCTTTCATGAACGATTCAATACGCATCTAAATACACGGGCTCTGATACGATACAGGAATGATACGTTTTAGTTTGAAACGACTCGGTGCGATTTGTTTTGATTAACGGAATGAATTGATGCGATTCGGTTCGATGCACTAAAATTTTTTGAATAAACACATTCATTTTCCATTTAGAATTATTATCTGCTGCTGATGGGAGCTCAGGAGTTGGGCCTCTCGATCTGAGCTGGATCTGTCTGAGAGGACTTCTCTAAACTGAGTGGCCCTCTGTTAGTGTGTGTATCAATGGTATGTGTAGGCACCTGAGCTGAGCAATAGGGCAGACTGAGCATCTACCACTCTGCTATCAGATTAGGGGTAGGGGCAATTTATTATTTTTGTCCCCCCACCTTTTATCTGAAATCACCATCACCCACTGATTAATTTGTCATTTTTGTTGATAAATGATTTGAGCTAGTACTGTCAATATTTATCTTTAGAAATTAGCCAACTAATACAATGCAGCTTTGGATTTCATTCCGTCTCAAAAGCGAATGGTTTAGACCGAATTTTACGGACAGCTTCTCCCACTCCGACCATTGAAATCGACCTTGCACAGCTTGCAAAAATGATTGCTGTCCTTTACGAAATTATCCTGTTCATGTAAAAACAACCAAAAACGTTAACCGTTTAAAGCAAATCTACCAAAACGATTTCTTATGGTGAACCTGAACAATCTAAATAAAATCTGAATGATTGAAAACCTCAAATCAGCAGCTGGATGTGAGTTGCGTCCACTCCGGTAGGCTACACAACTCCGGTAAAACACAATTTTCTACAGCACATTTGGTAACAATGAGCCAGAAAATTACATTGGTTGTCACTAAACTAATACATCTTATGATTTGACATTGCGAAAGCCATTTTACAGGCATCTGAATGCTTAAAGTGCTGCTCAGATGTACAAATAGCCTATTAGAACAGGGATAGGCCTACCTCTCGTTGGCGCGAGCAGCTGTGTCTCCCACACTGTGCGTATAGTTGTTATCTGACAGTCATATGCAGTTACATGCATAAAAGTTCGATAGGCTACTGAACTAAAGGAGGACGCATCAATTCAGTCACAACAGATAAGAGCCATTTTCGGTATAAAACAATACGATAAAAAAAAAATTGTGAACTGGCAATTCGTAACATTTGAATCTGTTTTCTGACCGATGCACGCTTAATTCGGATCGGTTTGGGCTCCCGCAGAGCGATGCACTCATATCTTAAACATTTGAACCGGGGACCATTGAGTATCTGTGAATCGTTACATCCCTAATATTTTGTAGGTAAATGATGGTGGTCTAGTACCGATGTCTGTGGCCAGCTGTTTGGTGGAGTGGGCGGTGAGCTCTGGGATGAGCAAGATGGCGTCACAGTACGTTTGCATGGTCGCCCTGGCGATGGAGCCCAGCCAGTAGTCTGCTGTGTTGTCCAGCTCCGGAAGGTCATCACCTGAGGTTGGAACAACGTCAGACAAATGTCGTCAAAACAAACGTCAGGCATGGCCAGGCACACACAGGACGCACAGAAAATAGCAAGGCCGGCTATTGAAATTAGGACAAAGAGGGAGAGACTGTGGAGGAGAGATGTAGGGGGAGAGTGCAAGGAGAGAAATAAAGAAGAGAGCAGGAGTTTAGGGCAATAGGTTAGGTGGGGGAAGGTAAGGGGAGAGGTATGGGGAGGTAGAAGAGGACTGGGGAAGAGGGAAAAAGCTGGAAAACAGGGATGAGGAGCAAAAGAACAAGGGAGACCGGTAACAGACAGAGGGGCAAACATCTAAAAGGAGGGAAGAGTAGAGAGACAGATGGAGGTAGAGACCGAATGAACGAGGGGGAGAGAAGGTCACCTTGCTCAGGAGGGAAAGGCAGTTTGCCTGCGTGCAGGGCCAACTCCAGCGCCGGGTCCTCTTGCGTCACAAAGGGCTCCAAATGGAGCGGCAGAGACATGATGTACTGTCCTATCTTTCAAGGAGAAACACAGGCAGTCAGCCACCTCAACACAATCTGACTAGCCTGAACATTCATAGTACTATAGTAACACTAACTGTGAACATTTACAACAGAAAACACCACTCATGTTTTCTAAAGACAGCTTATATTACATAATACATATACAATAATACTTGAATCTATGACTTGAATCAGCCTGTAGATGTTGTGCCCATAGTGGGCCAGACTTACATTGGTGATGTACTCCTGTGGGGACAAGCTGAAGGTAGGTAGGTCTACAGCATAGCTCTCTCCAAAACCTCCTGCATCTCGGCTCTGATAACAGACATGGTACAAGACGGAACATATGTAAGCATTACATTTACATACAGAAACAAGACTGACTGCACACACACACACACCTCCATTTTGGAGACCAAGCAGAGTTGATGTTTGATCTGCAGGAAGACAGAGTCGAAGGCCAGCTGGTTGGCCTGCTGGTTGAGACGGGTCAGAGCCACTCGGGGCTCAGCCAGAAGACTGGAGTTACCGGTCCCATTCTCCTACAAAACAATGGCAACTTGAACATGACAGACCTCACAACAGACCTAACTCCCTAAAAACACACTGCCACTTACTTAATTGCATTACAAGGCTTTAATGAAGCAAAAATGACAGTCATTGATCACAAGACACTGTATTTTCACTCTGAAAATAGTTACAGTGGACCATTTATAGGCTACATTCCCATCCTATCCAACAACTCAACAATTACTGTAACATCACACCCAAGCTAAAACCCTAAACCCCAAACCCAAATGAAAGTTAACAGTTCCAAGTCATCTCCGTTTTCCCCCAGCATGACCAGCCATACCTTGAGGGAGTAGAGCACCTCCATCAGGCTGTTGTACTCTGCCATGTTGCCCCTCTGCAGGTAGTTGTACTCCTGCCAGGGATTCCTCTCCGTGGAGCTGGCCTCCTGGATGCCCGCCAGGCTCCGAGGGCTGTACGACTCAGACAGGTACTTCCCCGCCGTGGCCAGGATCCTATAGGATCATCATGTAAAGTGTGTTGAGACCCATGTATAATGCACTTTTAAATAAAATGTACTTAAATAAACTTGACCTATAGGACATGGCAAGAGAATGGGGGAAGTAAGAATGGATATAAGTAGGGCGAGTCAGGTAGCTAGGGAGTAGGGCCTGGGGGTGATTTGGAGTTGGTGTTGGTCTTACTTGTTTGATAGCTGCTGCTCATAGGCTCCACACTGTCTCAGCAACTCCCCACAGGTGGAAATGATCCTGCAATGCAGAGGAAACATGGGGAATCAAAAATAATATACAGTTCATGCACAATTATACCCTTTTTCATACTACTGAGCCAAGCCCAGCCGAGCTGTACTGCATTGGCCTGGTTGAACGTTATGGAAAAATTTCGATATCTGCCTAAATAGACATACCCAAAAGTAATTATTTTTCATGAGATTACCATAAACAATATCTAGTAACGCTGCATAGTTCTAGAAATGTCTGGAACTCACCTTTCTGGTAAAAAATAATTATAAATTGCTGAGGTGTACTCACTTGAGGACACAAGCTCAAGTACATATTACAAATATTATGAAAATATAAAAAATGATATCCGATTGTTGTCCTATTGCAATGACTGAAAAGATTCCACCTTTCTTACAACTAACTGTAAAATAAACATGTACTGGCTCCATTTCATATAACCGACGACAGAGCATTTTCTACCAAGCGTCCTCTTAGCGAGGCAGAGACACCATTCGAATGTCTGCAGACTCGTTACAACTTCAAATCAAATCAAATGTTATTTGCCACATGCACCGAATACAAACAGGTGTAGACCTTAAAGTGAAATGCTTACTTACAAGCCCTTAACCAACAATGCAGTTTTTATGAAAAAAAAAAAAGCGTGCAAATAATTAAAGAGCAGCAGTAAAATAAAATACCAGTAGGGAGGCTATATACAGGATGTACCGGTACAGAGTCAATGTGCGGCGGCACCGGATAGTCGAGGTAATTGAGGTTATATGTACATGTGGGTAGAGTTAAAATGACTATGCATAGATAATAGTAGCAGCAGTGTAAAAGAGGGGGTGGGCAATGCAAATAGTCTGGGTAGCCATGATTAGCTGTTCAGGAGTCTTATGGCTTGGGGGTAGAAGCTGTTAAGAAGCCTTTTGGACCTAGACTTGGTGCTCCGGTACCGCTTGCCGTGCGGTAGCAGAGAGAACAGTCTATGACTAGGGTGACTCTGACACCGCCTTGGTATAGAGGTCCTGGATGGCAAGAAGCTTGGCCCCAGTGATGTACGGGGCCGTACGCACTACACCAGGGTTCTTCAATTCCGGTCCTGGAGGGCCGAATTTTTTATTTCTACCTGGTAGTTAATTGCACTCACCTGGTGTCCCAGGTCTGAATTAGCCCCTGATTAGAAGGAGAGGATGAAAAACAGAGGTGTTTCGGCCCTCCAGGACCGGAATTGAAGAACCCTGCACTACACTCTGTAGTGCCTTGCGGTCGGAGGCCGAGCAGTTGCCATACCAGGCGGTGATGCAACCAGTCAGGATGCTCTCGATGGTGCAGCTGTAGAACTTTTTGAGGATCTGAGGACCCATGCCAAATCTTTTCAGTCTCCTGAGGGGGAATAGGCTTTGTCGTGCCCTCTTCACGACTGTCTTGGTGTGTTTGGACCATGATAGTTTGTTGGTGATGTGGACACCAAGGAACTTGAAGCTCTCAACCTGTTCCACTACAGCCCCATCGATGAGAATGTGCTCAGTCCTCTTTTTTTTCCTGTAGTCCACAATCATCTCCTTTGTCTTGATCACGTTGAGGGAGAGGTTGTTATCCTGGCACCACACGGCCAGGTCTCTGACCTCCTCCCTATAGGCCGTCTCATCGTTGTCGGTGATCAGGCCTACCACTATTGTGTCGTCAGCAAGCTTTGCGCATGAAGTGATTTCGTCCCTCTGTGACCTTGAGAAAGTGGTCGTGTTTCAATTCTACGAACTGATTTAGTATTTATACATGCTGAGAGCTCCAAATTCGCCTCAGGATATCACAGCGAGATTAACCCACAATTGATGGATTCACTAGACTGTTCCCTTTAATATAATAATGTCATGAACCTTGCCCGGGAGGCAACTCTGCAGATTGGACACTAGCTGGCACAGTCACAAAGTCATAAAATCAGATTTTAAACCTACCCTTAACCACACTGCTAACCCTAATGCCTAACCCTCACCTTAAATTAAGACCAAAAAGCACATTTTCGTGTTCATGACTTTTTACAATACAGCACATTTTGACTTTGCATCTGGCCCATCTAGCAGAAATCGCTCAGTTCTGCCTCCAGAGCAAGATTCATGACAATAAACGTCAATCTGCCTTTAATATGCCATCTCCCAGGCTGGGCGCCATCGCTCAGAGGCAAATATGGGGTGTGAAACCTGACACTTATAGTCAGCTCTGCTGACAGAGTGGTAGCAAAAAGCAGACAGATGGGGCTATCTAATACACTATATACACATAAGTATGTGGACACCCCTTCTAATTAGTGGATTTGGCTATTTCAGCCACACACGTCGCTGACAGATGTATAAAATCGAGTACACCGCCATGCAATCTCCATAGACAAACATTGGCAGTAGAATGTCCTTACTGAAGAGCTCAGTGACTTTTAACGTGGCAACATCATAGGGTGCCACCTTTCCAACAAGTCAGTTCGTAAAATTTCTGCCCTGCTAGAGCTGTCAACTGTAGGTGCTGTTATTGTGAAGTGGAAACGTCTAGGTGCAACAACGGCTCAGCCGCGAAGTGGTAGGGCCACACAAGCTCATAGAATAGGACCACCGAATGATGAAGCACGTAGCGTGTAAAAATCATCTGTCCTCGGTTGCAACACTTACTACCGAGTTCCAAACTGCCTTTGGAAGCAACGTCAGCACAAGAACTGTTCGCCGGGAGCTTCATGAAATTGGTTTCCATGGCCGAGCAGCCACACACAAGCCTAAGATCACCATGGCAATGCCAAGCGTCAGCTGGAGTGGTGTAAAGCTCGTCGGCTATTGGACTCTGGAGCAGTGGAAACGCGTTCTCTGGAGTGATGAATCATGTTTCACCATCTGGCAGTCTGACAGACGAATCTGGGTTTGGCGGATGCCAGGAGAACGCTACCTGCCCAAATACATAGTGCCAATTGTAAAGTTTGGTGGAGGAGGAATAATGGTCTGGGGCTGTTTTTCATGGTTCGGGCTATGCCCCTTAGTTCCAGTTAAGGGAAATGTTAATGCTACAGCATACAACGACATTCTAGACGATTCTGTGCTTCCAACTTTGTGGTAACAGTTTGGGGAAGGCCCTTTCCTGTTTCAGCATGACAATGCCTCCGTGCACAAAGCGAGGTCCATACAGAAATGGTTTGTAGAGATCGGTGTGGAAGAACGTCACTGACCTGCACAGAGCCCTGACCTCAACCCCATCGAACACCTTTGGGATGAATTGAAGGGAATGGAATTGGAACGCCGACTGCGAGCCAGGCCTAATCGCCCAACATCAGTGCCCAACCTCACTAATGCTCTTGTGGCTGAATGTAAGCAAGTACCCGAAGCAATGTTCCAACATCTAGTGGAAAGACTTCCCAGAAGAGTGGAGGCTGTTGTAGCAGCAAAGGGGGGACCAACTCCATATTAATGCCCATGATTTTGGAATGAGATGTTCGACAAGCAGGTGTCCACATACTTTTGGTCATGTAGTGTACTATAAGGCACTGGACCCTGCGACGTTAACAGAGCGCATTGTACACCAAAATGTCAGTCAGAACCGCTCAAAGTCCCCTAAATAGGGGATTTAACATCTAATTAACCATGTCTGTTGGGACCGTCCTGAAAATGACAATGTGCAAAGGAAAATATCAGAGCCAGCAGAGTTTGATTTGGGTTTTCACAAAACCAACCTGACAGAGTTCTGGAAGGCAGTCCAATCCTCTTGGAACACAGCAGCACTGGGCGTGTCCTCCAACCTGCACTTCTTCCTGACTGACTGCAGAGTAGTGGAGAAGTCTGACACATACCTGTAGAAAACATGGCCAAGACACGTACAGTGGGGAGAACAAGTATTTGATACACTGCCGATTTTGCAGGTTTTCCTACTTACAAAGCATGTAGAGGTCTGTAATTTTCATCACAGGTACACTTCAACTGTGAGAAACGAAATCTAAAACAAAAATCCAGAAAATCCCATTGTATGATTTTTAAGTAATTAATTTGCATTTTATTGCATGACATAAGTATTTGATACATCAGAAAAGCAGAACTTAATATTTGGTACAGAAACCTTTGTTTGCAATTACAGAGATCATACGTTTCCTGTAGGTCTTGACCAGGTTTGCACACACTGCAGCAGGGATTTTGGCCCACTCCTCCATACAGACCTTCTCCAGATCCTTCAGGTTTCGGGGCTGTCGCTGGGCAATACGGACTTTCAGCTCCCTCCAAAGATTTTCTATTAGGTTCAGGTCTGGAGACTGGCTAGGCCACTCCAGGACCTTGAGATGCTTCTTACGGAGCCACTTCTTAGTTGCCCTGGCTGTGTGTTTCGGGTCGTTGTCATGCTGGAAGACCCAGCCACGACCCATCTTCAATGCTCTTACTGAGGGAAGGAGGTTGTTGGCCAAGATCTCGCGATACATGGCCCCATCCATCCTCCCCTCAATACGGTGCAGTCGTCCTGTCCCCTTTGCACAAAAGCATCCCCAAAGAATGATGTTTGCACCTCCATGCTTCACGGTTGGGATGGTGTTCTTGGGGTTGTACTCATCCTTCTTCTTCCTCCAAACACGGCGAGTGGAGTTTAGACCAAAAAGCTCTATTTTTGTCTCATCAGACCACATGACCTTCTCTCATTCCTCCTCTGGATCATCCAGATGGTCATTGGCAAACTTCAGACGGGCCTGGACATGCGCTGGCTTGAGCAGGGGGACCTTGCGTGTGCTGCAGGATTTTAATCCATGATGGCGTAGTGTGTTACTAATGGTTTTCTTTGAGACTGTGGTCCCAGCTCTCTTCAGGTCATTGACCAGGTCCTGCCGTGTAGTTCTGGGCTGATCCCTCACCTTCCTCATGATCATTGATGCCCCACGAGGTGAGATCTTGCATGGAGCCCCAGACAGAGGGTGATTGACCGTCATCTTGAAGTTCTTCCATTTTCTAATAATTGCGCCAACAGTTGTTGCCTTCTCACCAAGCTGCTTGCCAATTGTTTTGTAGCCCATCCCAGCCTTGTGCAGGTGTACAATTTTATCCCTGATGTCCTTACACAGCTCTCTGGTCTTGGCCATTGTGGAGAGGTTGGATTCTATTTGATTGAGTGTGTGGACAGGTGTCTTTTATACAGGTAATGAGTTCAAACAGGTGCAGTTAATATAGGTAATGAGTGGAGAACAGGAGGGCTTCTTGAAGAAAAACTAACAGGTCTGTGAGAGCTGGAATTCTTACTGGTTGGTAGGTGATCAAATACTTATGTCATGCAATAAAATGCAAATTAATTACTTAAAAATCATACAATGTGATTTTCTGGATTTTTTGTTTTAGATTCCGTCTCTCACAGTTGAAGTGTACCTATGATAAAAATTACAGACCTCTACATGCTTTGTAAGTAGGAAAACCTGCAAAATCGGCAGTGTATCAAATACTTGTTCTCCCCACTGTATGTGAGAGCAATGGACAAAAGTCAACCAGAATATTCACAAGAATATTGAAAGTTGCGTGTACTGTGTAGTATGTGTGTGTAAGCGTTGCCACAGTTGTGGCAAATTTAGCATGGGGGGAGTAGTGGGCGTCCTTTTGGCCGCAGAGACAAAATGTGTATGTTTTAAAGCTAATTTCCTACAACTCCACACATTTGTCCATGGCTTATGCCGTGTTCTTATGCGATCTGAGTGACTCAAACATAACAAAATCAATGGGGCCCCATGCCATAACATTTTTGGAATGGTGGTTGTTAGTTCTCAAAGACATAGCTCAATTATCTTTTCTACATACTTTATATCTGGTTTTAGCCGTTTAAGTTTACACTGAAAAGTTGTACCACACCCACTCAAAAACAAAATAAGATAAAACCAGTAGTGTATAATTACTTGGCGAAGAGGGATTTGAGGGCCTTGAGGAGGCCACACAAGGCCAGGCCGTCGGTCAGTTTGACACAGCGGTCCACAGCAGCACTGGCCAGGCCAAACAGCTTCCCCACTGAGTGACTCAGCTCCTCTACACAGTCTATCACCTCACCACGCTCCTGATAGAGGGAGAGGGAAAAGGAGGGGAATAAGGAGAGAGAGAAAGAGAGAGGGAGAGAGAGAGAGAATAGAAAGTATGATGAAGAGAGAGGGAAAGAGGTACACAGCCAATGGTCACAAAGTCCTTTCCACTCGCCTTCCCAGGAATCACCACAAAAAGTGAAATGACCATTGTATAAGGTTTGGTTGTGTGTGTGTGTGTGTGTGTGTGTGCAGGTATCCTAGCGGATAAGAGCATTGTGCCAGTAACCAAAAGGTCGCTGATTCGAATCCCCGAACCGACTAGGTGAGCAATTGTAAGTCTGCTAAATGACTCAAATGTAAATGTGTTTGTGTTTCACCAGGGGCATGGCGCTGATCTGGATGAGGAGGTGGGACTCCTCCAGGTCTCCATACTGCAGCTGGTAGGGTTTGTAGGGGTCGTACAGGGCACTGACCAGCTCATTCACCTTCAGCAGGTTGTTCTCACCTGAGAGGTACAACCACAATGTAAGTCTACCTTGTGAGCACTGACCTTTTCCCCCCAAATCGCTAATTAACGTCAACCCTAAGGAAAAGTTTGAATTACCTGGGTGGAGCTCAAGTTAGGATTCAGCGTTATATATCAATACAATTAATTAGCGTCACTATCAAGATGACCATAAACATGTCATGAGCAGATCTTTCAAATACTTCTGTTTCCTTACTATAATTACCTTACCTATGGAATAGTCCCAAAAGTGCAAACTCCAAGCCAAATCAAGGGCACCTTCCAAGTATTTCGAAGTATTTGAGACGTATTTGACCCAGGTCTGATATCAATACAATCTTATAATCTATATCATCACTCTCACTGTTGATGAGCAAGGGACTACGGATGAAAATAAACTGTGTAGCTAAATCCGGCACTATTTTACACCTCATCATTGACTGACTTGTTGATGAATGTGCAAATAAATATATAGATGCAGTAGCAGGCGAACAGACCCAGGTGTGGCAACATGACCTGTGCCAGGCTCCTGCCGAAGGTGGCAGCGGTGTGATGGAGCTCCAGCAGGGTATCCAGCCGCTGCTCCTGGGGGGTGTGCTCCATGGCCGTTCTCAGACACACGGGGATGGAGGGCACTATGGCTCCCAGGGTCTGGATCAGCAGCACCGTCACCACCTCGTATGGGTTCTTAAACACCTGTTGGGGGAGGAGAGATAGATTCATATACACAGTCAGTTGGAGACATGGGGTTAGGTTGCAGATGGAAGATTGTGCACCCTCTGCAGACGTGTTTGTTAAAGCAAGAGGAAAATGTGTGTTATTGTACAGTCTACTAGCGTAAGTTATGGTGTGTAATTTATGGTATGAGGTGTGTAAGGATACTTAGGGTTGGGCTGCACGATATGGGCAAAAAATATAATTGCTTTTTTTTTTTTTTACCAAATAATGTGATATAAATCAAAACACTTGGGTGAACTGTTGGAATCGTATAAATATTTATATTAAGAAGCAAAGTGGAAAGCAGCACGTTCTTGTTTGGAACAATCTGTTGACTGCATGACGGAACAGCATGCAAACTTATAGTGGCTCGAACAGTGAGGAGGCAGAACTGCGCCGCTTGAGTGACATGGGGCAAGGCTTGTGGAAAGCAGCCGCAAGAGGAGAGAGATGACAAACAAAGTAAACTTTAAAAACTGCTGCGGCTGAGTGGCGTTTTAAAATGTTGCATACGATGTGGATCTCTTGAGATATGGATACTGCACATGTCAATATTGCAATTCCGATGTGAATTTCATTAATTGTGCTGCCCTAACCTAGGGTGTGTGTTGCTGTATGATACAGTGTGGGAAGGATACTTAGTTGTGTGTGTCATGTTATGATGGAGCACGTGTGTTATGGTATGATACAGAGCAGTGGTTATTCAAAGTCGGGGTCGAGGGGGAATTGCAGTGGAGTCGCCAGATTTTTACAAAATGAAATGCATAATTGGGGTGGGGGAACAAAAAATTAAGAGTACAGATCATTGTATGGGACAATATACAAACTTTATTGAGAAAGATAATTTGAAAAATACAATTTTATTGAGTAAAATGTCTTTATTGGTTATTTTAATTGTGATAAGAAAAACGAAAACGTAATGAATTGACGGTTATTTGTTGACGTAAAAAACGAAATGTACCGATTTTAAGGTTGTGTCATTAGATTTGGGGTGGGTCGCCAGAAAGTCTGCTGAAAGAAATGGGTTCCCCCCTGAAAATGTTTGAAAACCACTACTATAGAGTGTGTGTGAGTATACCTGGCTGCTCCATTGTAGCTGTGAGTGCCAGCTGGAGAGCAGGGTGTCGTAGAACTCAGCCAGCTGCTGATTTAGACTCAGTTCACTCTGAGACAGGTCCTGCCACACACTCACCAGTTGACCCTGGAAACACACACACACACACACACACAGGAGAATTCAAGTCAACAATTGGAAAACACCTACCTACAGATAAACCATGTAAGCAACTACACTATACTAAATCAGTGATAATGTAATACATACCTTATGACACTTGTAGTAGTAGGCAAGAAGCTGTGGCATTCGGTCTATCTCTGTGAAGACTTTCACAAAAAGCTTGGCTTGGTCTGCAGAAAAAAAAAAAAACACATAAACCTAGTCAGAACCAGGTTTCAGAAAGACCGGTCTAAACTAATATGGATTTAGTATTCCATCTCAACCCAATCATAAGTTATTTCCAGACAGTCTCTTACCTATAGACATGGAGTTGAAGGTGGCTACTATCTGGGGGCTGGCCAGGGCCTCCAGCCTGTTCTTCAGAGCCTCCAGGTGCACACATTTCTCAGAGTAGTCTGGTGTGTCCACCAGCATAGCCAGGCTGTTCTGCATGGCGGTCAGCTTAGAAGAGATCACAGCCATGTCCTGGGGGAACGAGGTAGCTCCAGAAAGTTCAGGTTAAATGGAAATAGATGTTTGGTCAAGTCAAATGGAAATCACTAGAGCTTGTGGGTCCCCATGAATGTGGGCTGTCTTCTGCCTTTGAGGAGTTGGTCACTTGGACTCAGCAAAATGACGTTGCCATGAGCAGCACCGCTGATATTGAGATGAGCGAGATGCAAGACTTCGCTCTCACTGTCACACACAGTATATACGCATGTGCACGGGTTCGCTTCACACTGTTCACAGCGTGGAAGCCAGGGCACCAAAACAGCAGAGAAGTTGAGCCTCACGCTTCAACGCTCTTAGTTGTTGCGGAAATTAACCCACTCTGCTGTTTACTTTCTGCATCTACGTCATAATAGTCTACCTTTACGACAAGAACCAAGAGACATTGGCTATACACTACCGGTCAAAAGTTTTAGAACACCTACTCATTCAAGGGTTTCTCTTTATTTTTTACTATTTTCTACATTGTAGAATAATAGTGAAGACATCAAAACTATGAAATAACACATATGGAATCATGTAGTAACCAAAAAAGTGTTAAACAAATCTTCAAATCGCCACCCTTTGCCTTGATGAGAGCTTTTCACACTTTTGGCAATCTCTCAACCAGCTTCACCTGGAATGCTTTTTCAACAGTCTTGAATGAGTTCCCACATATGCTGAGCACTTGTTGGCTGCTTTTCCTTCACTCTGCGGTCCAACTCATCACAAACCATCTCAATTTGGTTGAGGTCGGGGGATTGTGGAGGCCAGGTCATCTGATGCAGCACTCCATCACTCCCCTTCTTGGTAAAATAGCCCTTACACCGCCTGGAGGTGTGTTGGGTCATTGTCCTGTTGAAAAACAAATGATAGTCCCACTAAACCCAAACCAGATGTAATGGCGTATCACTGCAGAATGCTGTGGTAGCCATGCTGGTTAAGTGTGCCTTGAATTCTAAATAAATCACAGACAGTGTCACCAGCAAAGCACCCCCACACCATAACACCTCCTCCTCCATGCTTTATGGTGGGAAATACACATGCGGAGATCATCCGTTCACCCACACCGCGTCTCACAAAGACACGGCGGTTGGGACTAAAAATCTCCAATTTGGACTCCAGACCAAAGGACAAATTTCCACCGGTCTAATGTCCACTAATGTCCAGGTCTCTTCTTCTTATTGGTGTCCTTTAGTAGTGATTTCTTTGCAACAATTCGACCATGAAGGCCTGATTCACACAGTCTCCTCTGAACAGTTGATGTTGAGATGTGTCTGTTACTTGAACTCCGTGAAGTATTTATTTGGGCTGCAATGTCTGAGGCTGGTAACGCTAATGAACTTATCCTCTGCAGCAGAGGTAACTCTGGGTCTTCCATTCCTGTGGTGGTCCTCATGAGTCAGTTTCATCATAGCGCTTGATGGTTTTTGCGACTGCACTTGAAGAAACTTTCAAAGTTCTTGATATGTTCCGTATTGACTGACCTTCATGTCTTAAAGTAATGAATCATTTCTCTTTTATTATTTGAGCTGTTCTTGCCATAATATGGACTTGGTCTTTTACCAAATAGGGCTATCTTCTGTATACCCCCCCTACCTTGTCACAACACAACTGATTGGCTCAAACACATTAAGGAAAGAACTTCCACAACTTTTAAGAAGGCACACCTGTTAATTGAAATGCATTCCAGGTGACTACCTCATTATGGCTAGTTGAGAGAATGCCAAGAGTGTGGAAAGCTGTCATCAAGGCAAAGGGTGGATATTTGAAGAATCTCAAATATAAAATATATTTTGATTTGTTGAACACTTTTTTGGTTACTACATGATTCCATGTGTTATTTCAAAGTTTTGATGTCTTCACTACTATTCTACAATGTAGAAAATAGTAAAAAGAAAGAAAGAACCTTGAATGAGTAGGTGTTCTAAAACCTTTGACCGGTAGTGTATGTACTCAATTTTTGAACAAGAAGAATATTGGTCACCCGTGCCACCTAAAATATCAAATCACTGAATCCTTAAATCAGTGCAGAGATATCACATATCACAATATACTAAGGGGAGTGGAGCAGGGTTTTAGAGGTAGTTTGACACCACCTGTGTCTTGAAGGTCTCCTCGATGTCTGCACTGAGCGTGCTCCATTTGTCTGCCTCCTGTAGTGCATCGGAGGCCAGATGCATCCGAGACTTGACCTGATCGAGCTCCACCAAGACCTGCAACACAGAATCCACACGCCAAAGACTTAGTGCTGTATAAATGACAATACATATTTGCCACACTGAGAGCTTGTTATCCTATTTGAATAGGACAATATCCTGTCCATAGTACTATAGTTTTATGCGACTATGTTGCCGCATCTACATGGACTGACTGTGCTGCAGCTTTGTGTTGTGTGTGTGTTTGCTTAGTTGCAAGTCACTTCCGATGAGGTGTCCGTCTGATGTTGTGTTTATATAATGCAAATGGCTGCCATACCTGCATGGACTGAACAGTGTCCTGCTCAAATTTCCTGATGTCCTCTTTGACAAGGACCATCTGCTCCTTCAGGAACGACGCTTCCTGCTTCAGGGCCTCCCCATCCCGCAGCACTCTGGGCATGTTCTGCAGGGCCTGGTTACTGCTCTCTGAACAAGGATAAATATATTTAAATGTTTCCCATCATGTATGTAAATGGTCAGAGAAGCTGGAGACATCAAATCAAAATGTATTCGTAAACAACAGGTGTAGACTAACAGTGAAATGCTTACTTATGGGCCCTTCCCAACAATGCAGAGAGAGAAAATAGAGAAATAATACGTAATAATAAATAAACAATGAGTAACGATAACTTGGCTATATACACAGGGTACCAGTACCGAGTCAATGTGCAGGGGTACGAGGTAATTGAGGTAGATATGTACATATAACTACAAATAAAGTGACTAGGCAACAGTTTAGATAATAAACAGTAGCAGCAGCATGTCATGAGTCAAAAAAGTTTGTGCAAAAAGGATCAATGCAGATAATCCGGGTAGCTATTTGGTTAACTATTTAGGGTTAATGTTCCCACACAGCCATAACTCCAGGTTACAGCGCATGTTTACGGAAGACAGAGGTGACCACCTGTGCTAATTAGCGAACTAGCATGCTCTGAACACCAGTGTGTAATGGAAGAAATCCGCCAGAAGGTGTTGGAACTGGAAAAGAATCAGCTGCAACTGCGATAAAGCCTGTTAAACCAGTAAGTGTATATTTTGCTTTTGTGAAATTATTTTTGACGTGATATGAAATTAAAGGGCTTTATGTTTCTAGAACCGTATCACAATTGAGAATGGATTCACGTTTAAATGGAGTATTTGGTTGTTTTGGCTGCCAGAGCCAGTCTTCCTCTGAAAATAACAAGGTCCTTGGACAATAAGGAGTAACATTAAGCTCCCTGCAGTCCATTATTGGGCTACTGTAGCCTATGACTCTTGGTTCTTCCAGGTCAGTTAACTGAACCTGGAATACTTACGTTTCTTGATCGTATTGGGGAACAGGCAGCAATGAAATAACATGAGACAAAAAAAATGACAGTATGTCAGTTACCCAGCTTTGGGACAACATCGGGATAACTCAGCAGGAATATGGTGCGGTTCAGACAAAAGTTGAATTCAGACGTTTATTTGATAGCGAGGGACACGTTTCACTTTATGTATGGTAAATAGTTCCTAGAGATTCTAAATATGCTTTTGTTGACACGTTTTTTTTGGGGGGGGGGGGGGGGGGTGAAGCGGCTATATCGTTCACAACTCAGGGAGTCCAACCAATACCCAGACTCCCGATGTTGTCCCAAAGCTAGTTACCCTCTATTGCATTGTTGACTTCCTGGATGAACAGCTGCAGTTTCACGACCAGCGTTGCCGCGTGCGCATCCGCTTTCCCAGGCACATCCTCCTGCATCTTGAAGGCCCCATTCACCCAGTCCTTCACGTCGAAATCATCGTCCAGAAATTTGGAAAAGTCCATTTTACTGTCCGAAAAACTTCAGATAGCTGGTTAGCTAGCTGGTGGGTGACGTCAAGACAACCCAACGTTCTGGGTGGGGATTAAAACAAGTGTGACAACATTGAAGACAGCTTTGTTAACTACCAATAATATTCACTATATTAAAAGTAATACTCACCATTTCATTTCTGAATGTGACATGCACATAGACTGGCCATGATGCAGGCTAGCTAGCTGCTTCTATTCATTTGAAACAAATCTTACGTTTTCCCAATTACAGGTTTATAAACGAACAGAAAATATACAGCCCATGAGAATGAAATGACCATAATAACTAAATAGAGTTCGAGCAAAGCAACTGCCTCCTCCAGAGTTAATTTGAATGGACTAAAACATCTAAAAAATATATAATCAGATTTTCAGCTTTGTTGACAATGACAGCAATATCCGGTTTACGCTCGCTCAATGATCTTCCCCTAGAAACAAATGACTATAAATGTTCCTATGTCGCGTCCCATTACAATGATCTATGCTCGAAAATGTGTCAAGTTGATAACATATTAAATTATTTTAAAGCATCCACGAGGTTGACTTTCAAAATAAATTATTATATTTGTAGATTAAAATAAAGTACGAAAACGAATTGTGTTACACTTGAAGTCCCTTGTTGAAGCCAATAAAATCGAACCAAATCCTGCCTCCTGATGGCCAACTTGCAAAACAACTAGTGACAAGTTATACAAAACATGTGAATACAAACCTATACAGTAGATCCTCCATACTCAACTGGCGGACCCCAGACCTAGAACGGGGTCAATACAGACCGCAGGTCCCAAAACAAAAAAATTATAGATATCTATATTTTTTACTCTGTCAGGCTTCTACACCTGGTATTATATAAACAAACATATGACAGTGATGAATTCATATAATTGCCGGAAATGAGCTTTAATACAGTAAAAAACAAATATATTCCCCATGTGTAGAACTGCCGGAATTTTGCTTTAAAACTGCAACATTTTCTCTCCACCAACAAGAAGGGTGTGAACAGTTTGGGGTCGCGAGGTGGGGGTTTGTTACTACGCCGATAAATTACATTATCCATCCGGGCCTTTGCCACCTAGGACATTTGTGTGACCGGACCTTCTCAAATAGTACTTGAGTACCCCTGCAGTAGATGTTAACATCTGAAATTGTCTGATTACTGGATTGGCTCTCTTATTTTACATAAACTCAATTGTTTTAGCTGGATATGGAACCCAGGGGTGTATTAACTACGCCGATTTTGTTGCAAAACGTTTTGCAACAAAAACCGTTTTTCAACGAAAACAAGTTTCTATTGGACAAATTAAGGTAGGTCCATTCCCGTTTCGTTCAGTTTGCAGTTTTCTTCCGTTTGGTTCTTAAACCGTAAATGGTTTCCGTTGCAAAATGTAATGAATACACACCAGATAGATACTCTATGGCCTCATATCAACGTAGTACCTCTTCAGCTCGCTACAGAGGGAGAATCTCAATTGCAAACTCCTAGTGTCCTCTCTCCTTCTCAAAACCCATTGGATGAGAAAGCCAGAGGTCGCGCCCCTCTCCTCCAATGGGTTTTGAGGAGGCAGCGAGGAGGGGACTCGAGGAGAACAATTTAGTTTATTTCATTGCCTTCCTACATGCAGGTTTGCTCCATTCTCTGTGTGAAGAATTCAAACATGGTGGCAAAAAAGGCCTGGTCAAGAGCTTACTCCAATGGCTCTGGAACATCCAGGTGTCACTTCCTATTCAGTTTATACCTACTCCTGGACTAAAGAACATATTCAATTGCGACTGGATAATTATGCACCTCACCAGTTGAGGAACGAACCTCTTGGTTATGCAGTTATACCTCAAAGACATAATCTGTTGACCTGTGGAGAACCTTTACCCTGCAACAGTAAAAAGCATAAAACAAAAATGGCAGACATTTGGTGTCAATGGAGTCAAAATGTAATTCAAGAACAATTTCACAGAAGGTTCAGAAACGGTTAATTTATTTGATGTTTTACATTCAAACGAAAATAAAAAATATTCATATATTTTCATATGTAAGCATATGTTGCTAGTAAGCAAGGTACAGATTTAAAACGTAACACAAAAAACTTCTGTGTGGCATACAGTATATTTACAAGGCGTGCTTTGAATACTATACAGTGTTTCCATAGCTGCACAGGTTTTGTGAATGTGTTTATCCTTTAACTCAAATGAGCCAGAAAGATAAAGGGGTTTTAAAGAGAGGTCTGGGCATTGGACCAAGTGAAAGTCATGTTCAGTTAAACATTTCACCTCACAGCCTCAAAACAAAAGACCGAGAGCAGTGAAGCAAAGCAAAGCTTATGGAGGAGAGGTCTGCTCAAACTGAACAATCACTAAAACACAAAAGGAAAAATGATAGGAATTGATAAATTCACTAATTCAAATTAACAGTCATGCAAAGCACTACATTATGTCAACTTTCTGGGCTGAAAACCTCACACGAAAGCCAAAACAACCATCGGCAATTCCAGTTCCTTGTTGTAGCTGCAAAGAGAAAAGGCGTATGTTATCAGTAGCGAGTTAGGTTGGTTGCCATAACATTTGACAGTAGCCTAGCCGTGAAGTTTGGTTGCACGGTATATAGTTGGCTTTTTAAAATCAGTTTCCTCAAGTAAATCAAGTAGTCACCAGATGCCACCACAATCACTGGTAAACCATACTCTTACATATCTCTCCCAGTAGTTATTTACAACAAGTGGAACAGCCACTTATTTAAAACACATACAAAATCATATTAGAAATAGCAATTGTTGTTTGTGGTAACAAAACACTACAGCAGATATTCAACGGATTCCTATTGGGACAGATTATTATACTGAACCAAACCCTTCTGTTTTGGCATTTCAGTGGATTAAGAAACTGAGAAGGCAAAAACATAAAATGTAAAATAAGTGCTATCCCTAATAAGCCCTCTCGTAACTGCAATCCAGCCCAAAACACATTTAAATTCCCAGGAGAGTGGATATACTATCAATGTATTACATGTCTACCACGTCAAGGCCATTATTGACAGCTGCGAAGAATCGTGAAGCATATTCACAGAATTAAACAGTGTAAATGAGAAATCATAGCATATTAAAAAGCTTTCAAAGAATCAAAACAGGCAAAAAACTTGAATTAAGTCAAGAGGGTGCAGTTAGTCCAGGATCAGGGTAGAGAGCGTGTGTATGTTTATCTTCCTGGCGGGGGTGTGCTCTTTGCAGTCTGATCGCCATAGTAAATTGAGTGAAGTGTGGAAAGGAAACACAGAATCCACAATATTCAGATCTTTCTGGAATCTTTCGCTTCGAACAGCTTCATGCGCTCCTGCACAGTCAGTCCCTCTTTGAGGCTCTGAGAGAAAGAAAATTAGTGTGAAAATGAAATTTAAACCAATATATTGTCTGGCTTCAAGGCCAGAACACTATTCATGTTAAGCATTATTCATATAAAGAACCACACATGTAACTTTTCCCCTGGCAAGAGCCCAGGATTCACTGTTAGAGAATATAATCTTATTTAGGGGTGTTATGTTGGTGAATCACAGTAAAGAAACCGGTAGTAGGGTTTAAAGTTAACATCAACTTGGCTGACATGTCATCCAAATGGTGACATTCTGACAGACATTTTAAAAATGGGGACTCGATTACCACCACTCAAGGTGTGTTGGTGAAGTTTGGGGTGCTAAATGACACACATTAGTCATGCAAGTCAGACAAAACACACCAGACAAAACACAACACAAACATACAAGACAACACAAAACCATACCAGACACAACACAAAAACAACCATTATGACATGTTTATGTGCTCTACAGACAAAATAGAAACAGAAATGTTCACAGACAAAGCTATTCAACAGAACACCACAGTTAATGTAAGTTCCTTGACTGACCAGGTAAGGGAGAGAAGTTTCCTGGGCTCATTGTGGTACAAACACATGAGTTATTTCATGGACACCTCCTTTGTACTGTACTACAAACACATCCAAACCACCGCCTCCATCTCCAGCCCAAACTGCACACCCAAGCAGTGGTTTGACCAAGGGGGATCACCAAGTTGATAACATTCAAGGATTTAAAAGAAAAATGGCATTCCAGTTTATACTGGGATCATTACATATACTGGGCTACTCTAGTATTCTCCACAGCTACTGCAGGTGACTAGTAATTCCTAGTCCACACAACATACACAATTATATTTGCTGTGCCCCAATAGCCTGGCTGTAGTAAGGTTCCTTTCCTTGTTTCCTTCCATCATGACCACTGATCTTACAGGACATGACAGGTGAATCAATATGGATGATCCTATCCAGCTCTTTCACAAACCAGTGGTGATGAGGGAGAGAAGAGGAGATCAGAAATACATTTGAGAGTATTGGGAGCAATGTCTAATAATAATAATTTGGTGGGTGCTTATTTGTCCTATTTCACATGTACAAGTGTGTATTATACACATGTGTGAATTGGAAATGTGCGTTTTGCATATCCCAACTCCCCCTGAGACACTCTCGGAGAGTGGGGTTACGACCAGGGTCAGTCATTATCAACGGCGACCCTGGAGCAATAAGGGTACAGACAGATTTTTCACCTTGGGATTCGAACTATTGATCTATTGGTTATTAGCCCAAAGATCTAACCGCTAGAGCCATGTCCACAGATATGCTCCAATCTGCGATTGCTACATCCATTTTTGTCCTATTAAATTAATGATATATAGCCATTTACTCTTGAATAATATAATTTATAATTGCTTCATGAGCTTCGTTCAACTGTCTTACCTTACCACATCAGAACCCAAATTATATGCTTTTATTAATCCAATGTTTGTAAATAATGTTATTGTAAACAAACACTATATAGCCTCAAGACATGGTTAAAACTATAATGTTGATCTCATGGATGGTCAGTCCTTGCATCCATAGCCCTGTCTATGAATTTGAAAGTGCTTACATTTCTCCAGCCCCATCCCTCAGCTTTTTACCAAAACAGTGACGGGGTAGTTGCTGTGTTATTGTTTGAACTCATTCTAGGCACTGAAGAACCCATGTTCCTGCAAGGCAGACCTTACCACTCTGAAATACCTGCATGTCTTACCTTCTGCTGTACTAATTCAAGTGAAAGTTCATTGCACCAGGTTTATTGGGCCCTCATCGATGGAGGGGGCAGAGAGGAGAGGCAGGGGTAATAGAACGCAACATGCTGGGTGGTTGGGGTGGGACATGCTCACTCAAGGACATGCTATACCTACATCTTGGGGTAAGGGGAAGAATCGCCCCTCAAGGGGGGTGTCAGCTATCCCAGATGACCTGTTCAGTGATGGACTGATGTGGGAAGACAGGAGGACAAGCTTACCATATATAAAACATGAATGATTGATGGACTGACCCGTAAGCGCAAAACACACTAACAGCAGTAATCTATGTGCACACCTACACTCGTTCACATGTACACACTCCCACACACTCACACGATTCTAAATGTTAAACAAATATGTTGAATTACAACATTTACAACAAAACGCGGGGGAATGTCCGCATCAGGAATGTCCACATTAGCTTACCTTTGATCTAACACCTCTTATTTGCTTGGAGAGAGTCGATCGCTCCTTTTTCAGAAAATCTGGATTACTTTTCGATTTCATGATATCTGCAAAAACAAAATTAGGTGAAAAAAAGGCATGTGGACATGAATGAATCATTTTCATAGCGTTTTTCCCCATCAACCTGATGCATTTCTTAGACATTGCAAGTAACTCTAAAATGCATAGGGGTCCAAGAGGGTTATGGTTTCCCACTCACCATATCCAGGGGTAGCCGACCCATCCACGTTCCTCTCCCCCAGTGCTTCCGTGGCGACCAGTAGCTTCTCCGTCAGCTTGGTGATGTCACAGTCAGCCTTGGCCTTCACGATGCTGAGCTCTGTGTAGATGTCCTTGTACTTGTCTGTGGCATATTTCTTATCCTGTTCAAAAGAGAGGATAAAAAAAAAACACTGATTTAGCCATTGACTTCAAACTTGGTGTATTTTTGGTAGCCTGGGATCCAAACTGATTTTCTACGGTTCAGTGAAACACTGAGGAATTATTTTGGATTCCAGGTTATATTGTTGGTGGACATCGAAAGGTTAGTCCTCAAAGAACAGTGTTTATAATGAATAACATGGTCTTGATAGATAGAGAGATTGAGAATATGTGTGTTTTTCCATACCCTTAATGCAGACTGAAGTTCATCCTTCAGCGAATGGATTTCCTGTTTGAGATACTGGATTTCCGACTCCTTGATACGCAATAAGACCTAAAATTGAGATGTACAGTAAATAAAGATACATATCAAAGATAGAATACCAGTGTGGCCAATGTGTGTGTGAGACAGAGTGAAGAGTAGAGTACCTCCAGTTCATAGAGGTCCTTGCCCTGGGTGAAGGGTGACATTGCCGTTTCTCCGCTGTAGCAGGAGCGCATGCGTGTGATCTCCACGGTCAGACGGTTATTCAGCTCCTATGGGTCGGTCACACAGAGGTCAGAGTTCACATTATTCAACTGGGGCATCTGGACTGTTTTAAGGCCAACAGGATCACACAGTGTGTGTGTGTGTGTGTGTGTGTGTGTCAGGGTTTCCATTAAGCACCAGACAACGTGACTGAGAAGATTTAAATTTACCGGACCCATCTGCATTGGGTGCATAACCCCTTAGGGCGTCCACCCACGGTCCTCAGAATGACAGAAATCACGGTAATGCATCTTAATAGAACATACAACTCATGTAATGAAGCAGCCAATAAAACGCAATTTTCAAACAATTGCCAAAATGCAATTCGCGGGAAAACACCATTCTAAACAGTGCACCTGATAGCGGTTCCATATGTGACAGAGATGAAAATCTCTGTTAGAAATGTAGAAAGAGGGAGAATCTAAAGATGCAACAACTAGGATGGGTTGCTAATATGACTAGGATTGTGCCGTTGGCTTCTGGACAACGAAAGAAAGTTGATATGAAAACCAATAGAACAGGAAAGAAATGGCATAGCGGTGGGTCCAATAGGGAAGTAAATGGAAATATATTTGCTAAAATTGACCTGTGCGTCAATCTAAGTAACATAATCAAATAATCCCCATCAAAACCAGTCAATTTAAGCTAGAGATATCTGATATCTGCATCCGCCTTTGTCGGCCTTCCACAACTGCGGTGGAAGGTGACCGAGCTACAGTGGTGTTTGTCAGACCATGAGACATCCCAAAAATCTGTCTCCTCACGAAAATGTCTGTAGCATCCGAATGGTTCGGCCTACAAACAATGTTCTCTCAAAAACAATGTGTCACTGAGCGCAAACTTGAACATTGTGAAAATTCTGTGAACTTCCGGCACGTGTTTACTGTGAACACTGAGGCTGTACCCACTTTAAGTTACAAGTAGGCTACTGTGGCTATTTGATAATAATGTAGACCTAAGTCCACCACCACCCGTCGGATCTAAAGGTAGAGGATAACATGACTCATCAGTGGAGTTGAATGGTATAACGTTATTATGTGTAGATATGAAAGGAGAAAGTACTATTCCCGAATATGCTGTTAATAGAGTACACTAGTATAAAGTTACTAGAAGTATAATGGGTTACTAGAGATAAAGTAACATCTGAAGAGTATAAAGGTTACTAGAGATAAAGTAACGTCTGAAGAGTATAATGGTTACTAGAGATAAAGTAACATCTGAAGAGTATAATGGTTACTAGAGATAAAGTAACGTCTGAAGAGTATAAAGGTTACTAGAGATAAAGTAACGTCTGAAGTGAACGTCTGAAGAGTATAAAGGTTACTAGAGATAAAGTAACGTCTGAAGAGTATAATGGTTACTAGAGATAAAGTAACATCTGAAGAGTATAATGGTTACTAGAGATAAAGTAACGTCTGAAGAGTATAAAGGTTACTAGAGATAAAGTAACGTCTGAAGAGTATAATGGTTACTAGAGATAAAGTAACGTCTGAAGAGTATAAAGGTTACTAGAGATAAAGTAACGTCTGAAGAGTATAAAGGTTACTAGAGATAAAGTAACGTCTGAAGAGTATAATGGTTACTAGAGATAAAGTAACATCTGAAGAGTATAATGGTTACTAGAGATAAAGTAACGTCTGAAGAGTATAATGGTTACTAGAGATAAAGTAACGTCTGAAGAGTATAATGGTTACTAGAGATAAAGTAACGTCTGAAGAGTATAAAGGTTACTAGAGATAAAGTAACGTCTGAAGAGTATAATGGTTACTAGAGATAAAGTAACATCTGAAGAGTATAATGGTTACTAGAGATAAAGTAACGTCTGAAGAGTATAATGGTTACTAGAGATAAAGTAACGTCTGAAGAGTATAAAGGTTACTAGAGATAAAGTAACGTCTGAAGAGTATAAAGGTTACTAGAGATAAAGTAACGTCTGAAGAGTATAATGGTTACTAGAGATAAAGTAACATCTGAAGAGTATAATGGTTACTAGAGATAAAGTAACGTCTGAAGAGTATAATGGTTACTAGAGATAAAGTAACGTCTGAAGAGTATAATGGTTACTAGAGATTTACAATATAACAATATAAATAATAATTTACAACTTGCACACCCACACGTAGACGTACGTAAGTGGTGTAAAAAGTATTCTGAGAAATGTTCAGAGTGGTCCCTTTATGAATCATTTGATAAAGATAAGGTTAAAGCATTGTATGACTGTCTAAAGGGTCTGGGAAATAATCTCAGACAAAGATTGGCATATATCCACTTATTTTTTATTTATTTTTTTTGACGCATGAATCACGATGTGAGTCACGTGTCCAAAGGGAGAATTACCAGTCCCCCGGGGCCCTTTGGTAAATATGCAAATTATTTTCTTCACATGCCTGCCTGTGTGGTCCTCTGTAGCTCAATTGGTAGAGCATGGCGCTTGTAACGCCATGGTAGTGGGTTCGATCCCCGGGACCACCCATACGTAAAAATGTATGCACGCATGACTGTAAGTCGCTTTGGATAAAAGCGTCTGCTAAATGGCATATTATTATTATTATTATTATTATTATTATAATAAAAGGAAAAAATATATGTTGGTAATGGTTGACAGTTACTCCAAATGGATTGAAGTTTCCCCACCTCTAGTTGTAAATGAAGAAGTGTATTGAGGTTGTGTTGTTTGTTTGTTTGTTGTCTTGCTTCAATACAAGGGGGAAAAAATGGTTTCAACTGTGTGTTGTTATTCTCTGACATTTGTCTTAGACATTTGTATTAAGAATCTTGATAGTAGTAATAATTTGTCATACAGTGAATAATTTGTCTGGATTTCCTGAATCAGAAATGCCCTAAACTAAAACTGTTGTTCTGGTCTGTCCTCTCTCCAGGTTATGGCGAAGGTGACCACAGATAGTATCTAGATGCATGGAAGGGATAATTTGGCCGAGAACAGTGTGAACCTCTAACCGGCTGCAGTAATGGCGACAATGGCATTCACTATGGTCCTTCATTACTTCTACCTGAAACCTGAGTCCGAGCCAGCAACCTGTACACAGCATCCAGTCGAAGCTATCAACTGCCTTTTCTCTCAGGAGTGCGACATGAGTCCACGTGAAGTGAGCATGGAGAGAGATCCTGTCCTTCTCTCATGCTGCTGGTGTACTGGTAGGAAAATGGACAAGACATAATGGACTGTAAAGGACAGTGGCAGCTCAGGTGAGAGAAATCGGGACATTATCAAGGGCCATCCACTTTGAACATGAGCCATTGGGAGGACGAACTGAAACACCAGAAGAATGGTGCCGGGAGGGAGGGGGATGGTCAACCGTGCCCGTAATTAATTTAGGTTTATCCAAAATTGTTTATTTGGGGTATCAGGTTGATTGTGGAGGTCTGCACACTGCGAAATGTATAGTACTTTAGACTAGAAATGCATTGAGATACTGATCTGTCATTAACATGCCACTCGCGACAAAAGCTCCAGCTGAACTATAATTGCCAGAATCCATAAATGAAATTGTGTAATGAAGCATGTGTGTAACTGTATGAAGGGAAGGTCTTAAGCCATGGTTTTGCAAGTTGGATTGTACAACCTAAAATGAAGAGTTTGAAAGGGTCTGTGGTTTTATGCGTTGATTTTGTTTACTTACTACTTTGATTGTAGATTTGAGCTTTATGATGATTATGAATTAAATTAGATTAGCTGTGCCACTAGAGATCCTGGTTCGAGTCCAGGCTCTGTCGCCGCGACCGGGAGACCCATGGGGCGACGCACAATTGGCCCAGCGTCGTCCAGGGTAGTGGAGGGTTTGGCCGGCAGGGATGTTCTTGTCCCATCGCGTACTAGCGACTCCTGTGGCGGGTCGGTCGCCAGGTGTCCGGTGTTTTCTCCGACACATTGGTGCGGCTGGCTTCCGGGTTAAGCGGGCACTGTGTCAAGAAGCAGTGCGGCTCGGTTGGGTTGTGCTTCAGAGGCTCTCGACCTTCGCCTCTCCAATGTCCGTACGGGAGTTGCAGCGATGGGACAGGACTGTAACTACCAATTGGATACCACAAAATTGGGGACAAAAAGTAAATAAATAAAAAAGATTCACTCCTGTTAATAGAACCTTTATTATGATTAGGGTCTAATTAATTTATTTCAAATGACTGATTTCCTTATATGAACTGTAACTCAGTAATATTTTTTGAAATTGTTGCATGTTGCGTTTATATTTTTGTTCAGTGTATCGACTCGTATTTTCATCAATGAATAAAAAGCATTATTTTTCTATGGGATTTTAGTTTTTTCTCCCAGTCATTTTTGGCCTGCTAATGGAAACCGTGTTGTGTGTGTACCTGGTTGTGTGTGTACCGTGTTGTGTGTGTACCTGGTTGTGTGCGTTGAGCTCCTGGTTCTCCCTCTGACACTGTCTGAGGGCCTGTCTCTCAGCTTCTAGGGCCTGGGCCAGGTGGGCGTTCTCCAGACACTTCTGAGAGTACTGCTCTGACAACACCTCCAGCTCCCTCTGGATCGACTGCAGCTCCTCCCTGAGACACACAGTCACTTGAACATACAGTGCCTTCAGAAAGTATTCATACCCCTTTACTTATTTCACATTTTGTTGTGTTACAGCCTGATTAAAAAATGTATACAAAAATAATTATCTCCCATCTACAAACAATACCCCATAATGACAAAGTGAAAACATGGTTTTAGATATTTTCTAGCAACGGTTTTGAAAATGAAATATTGAAAATGAAATACAGAAATCTAATTTACAAAAGTATTCACACCCCTGAGTCAATACATGTTAGAATCACCTTTGGCAGTGATTACAGCTGTGAGTCTTTCTGGGTAAGTCTCTAAGAGCTTTGCACACCTGGATTGTGCAATATTTGCCCATTAATTATTTTCAAAATTCTTTAAGCTCTGTCAAGTTCGTTGTTGATCATTGCTAGACAACCATTTTCAAGTCTTGCCATCAATTATCAAGCAGATTTAAGTCAAAACTGTAACTAGGCAACTCAGGAACATTCACTGTCTTCTTGGTAAGCAACTCCGGTGTAGATTTGGCCTTGTGTTTTAGGATATTGTGCTGCTGAAAGGTGAATTCATCTCCCTATGTGTCTGGTGGAAAGCAGACTGAACCAGGTTTTCCTCTAGGATTTTGCCTGTGCTTAGCTCAATTCCGTTTCTTTTTTATCTTGAAAAACTCCAGTCCCTAACGATTACAAGCATACCCATAACATGATGCAGCCACCACTATGCATGAAAATATGGAAAGTGGTACTCAGTAATGTGTTGTATTGGATTTGCCCCAAACATAACTTTTTGTCCTGAATACTAAGTGTTAATTGCTTTGCCACATCTTTTGCAGTATTACTTTAGTGCCTTGTTGCAAACAGGATGCATGTTTTGGAATATTTTTTATTCTGTACAGGCTTCTTTCTTTTCACTCTGTCAATTAGGTTAGTATTGTGGAGTAACTACAATGTTGTTGATCCATCCTGATGCAGCCACCACCATGCTTGAAAATATGAAGAGTTGTACTCAGTTATGTGTTGTTTTGGATTCGCCCCAAACATAACGCTTTGTATTCAGGACAAAGTTAATTTATTTGCCAAATTAGTTTCAGTTTTACTGTAGTGCCTTATTGCAAACAGGATGCATGTTTTGGAATATTCTTATTCTGTACAGGCTTCTTTCTTTTCACTCTGTCATTTAGGTTAGTATTGTGGAGTAACTACAATGTTGTTGATCCATCCTCAGTTTTCTCCTAGCACAGCCATTAATATATGTAACTGTTTTAAAGTCACCATTTGCCTCATGGTGAAAACCGTGAGCGTTTTCCTTCCTCTCCGGCAACTGAGTTAGGAAGGACGCCTGTATCTTTGTAGTGACTGGGTGTATTGATACACCATCCAAAGTGCAATTAATAACTTCACCATGCTCAAAGGGATATTCAATGTCTGCTTTATTAAATGTTTACCAATTTACCAATAGGTGCCCTACTTTGCGAGGCATTGGAAAACCTCCCTGGTCTTTGTGGTTGAATCTGTCTTTGAAATTGACTGCTCGACTGAGGGACCTTACAGATAATTGTATGTGGGGTACAGAGATGAGGTAGTCATTCAAAAATCATATGAAACACTATTATTGCACAAAAAGTGAGTCCATGCAATTGTTTAGCAAATGTTTTACTCCTGAACTTATTTAGGCTTGCCATAACAATGGGGTTGAATAGGTATTGACTCAAGCCATTTCAGCTTTTCATTTTTAATACGTTTGTAATAATGTTGAAAAACATAATTCCACTTTGACATTATGGGGTATTATTGTGTGTAGACCAGTGACCAAAAAATCTATATTTAATCAATTTTAAATTCAGGCAGTAACACAACAAAAGGGCTGTGAATACTTTGAAGTCACTGTACATAAACCGTACACAAAGCATAACAACCCCCTTCCCCGAAGAGACTTCCATATGTTTTTCTACCTAGTGTATTACCAGTTGCCACTGTCACCTTGTGGCAAATGCATCAGTAAAAAGGTCTAGCGCTATACAAGTGAGTTTTGATTGATTGGCTACTTATGGACCCATATACACTAAACACCATATGAATTTGGACAGTGAAGCTAACATTTTAAATTTGTCTCTATACGCAAGCATTTTGGATTTGAGATCAAACGTTTCATATGAGTCGACAGTACAGAATGTCACCTTTTATTTTAGGGTATTTATTATACATATCTGTTTTACCGTTTATAAATGAAAGCACTATGTATATAGTCCTCCCATTTGAAGAAGTCATAAGTATTTGGACAAATTCACAGTGTATTAAAGTAGTCAAAAGTTTAGTATTTGGTCCCATATTCCTAGTACGCAATGACTACATCAAGCTTGTGACTCTACAAACTCATTGAATGCATTTGCTGTTTGTTTTGGGTTATGTGTTGCCCAGTAGGAACTGAATGGAGAATGATGACTGGAGTAATTATAACCAACAAATCAATTCTAAAAGCTTTAACAAGAGCAAGGTACAGGTAACTGCCAAAATAAAGGATGTAAGTGAGGGATTCAAAGTATATTGAAATCAGGTGCTTCCACACAAGTGTGGTTCCTGAGCTAATTAAGCAATTAAATCATCCCATCACGCTTAGGGTCATGTATAAAAATGCCCAGTTGCCCATTATTGTGGCTACCATGCCTAGAAGAGATCTTATTGACTTTGAAAGAGGGGTCTCAAAGGAGCATAAGGGGTTTAAAGGGTGTGTGCGTGTGTGTCTCAGTCACCAGATCTCAACTCAATTGAACACTTATAGGAGATTCTGGAGCGGTGCCTGAGACAGCGTTTTCCACCACCATCAACAAAACACCAAATTATGGAATTTCTTATGGAAGAATGGCATTGCATCCCTCCAATAGAGTTCCAGACACTTGTAGAATCTATGCCAAGGCGCAATTGAAGCTGTTCTGACGGCTCTGGTGGCCCAACGCCCTATTAAGATACTTTCTGTTGGTGTTTCCTTTATTTTGGCAGTTACCTGTATTTTGTTTAATTTAAAAACAGCATAAAATTTTCCAATCTCTAAGTGAGTAGATTAATATTTCTAAGAGCTAAAATGTTTCGGAACACTTCTAATTCAATTATTAAGAAAAATAATGAATAAATAATGAATAATGATGAGTGAGAAAGGTACAGAGGTTACAACAAAACATGCTAATCTCTCACCATTACCAATAACAGGGGCGGTTAGATCTTTGTGTCTCTAACTTTCTCACTCAACATTATTCACGATTCATTCATTATTATCCATAATCATGGTAGCATCCACAATAATGTAGAAGTGTTCAGAAGCATCTTCTATTCTTAATTACAATAAAAGTGACTCAAATCACAGAAAATTATTCACCCTTCAGTTCCTATTAGGCAAAACATAAATCAGAAACACAACCAAAACATACTGCAAATGCATCCAACACGTTTGTAAAGTCACAAGCTTGATGTAGTCATTGTGTGCAAGGACTATGGGACCAAATACTAAAACAGTTGACTACTTTAATATACGATAAGTGAATTTGTCCAAAAACGTATGACTTCCTCAAATTGGGGGGACTAGATACATAAAGTGCTTTCATTTCTAAAAGGTAAAACAGATACAGTATGTATGAAAATACCCTCAAATAAAAGGTAACATTCTGTACTGTCGCCTCATAAGAAACATTTGTCCAAACACATATGGTGTCGAGTGTATCTCTATATGGAGTTCCCTATGGTCATTCAAATCTCTGCCATCGTCTGCTACGTTCCAATTGTGTTCCCAACCAAAATGGGGACTTACTGATACTGCTCGTGCAGCTCGTCGATGTCGGTGCTCAGTCCGCTGATTTGGGAGCGCTGGTTCTTCTCCATTTCCTCTCGGTGTGCGTTCTTCATAGCCTCAATAGCTGGAACACAGAAAGCTAGCGGTCAGAGTCACTACAATTGTAGGTGACAAAAATCGACCAATCTGGCAACACTAGGGATTGGCCAATGCAGGTGCTAATCTTTACCAGCGATGGTGGCGGCCGTCTCTTCGGCCAAAAGCCTCTCCCTCTCCTCCAGTAGTTTGGAGACTTCCCTCTGGTGCTGCCTCTGGAGGTCCTCGACGACCTTGTGGTGGGTCTCCTCCATGGCTGTGAAGCCTCGCTCACACGTGGCCTGGGGGAGAAGGGGTTAATATGTTGGCATTGTTAAAGCTCCCCACGGTGTTGTAGTATGTTACTAAGGCTTTAATCATTGAGTAAAGATGCTTCCTTATCCTTACCAGATTTATGATGAAATGTAGTATGTTTAAGCGATTGGCTTAATCTAACTTGGGATGGTCTGAGAGACTACAGTCCCATGTGTTATGTGCTCTGACTAGCTTTCATGGTGCATTATTGACCAGTGCAAGCAGAATTACATCTGAGAAAGTCATGCAATAATTTTTTGATCAGAAGCCAAGCAATGTTAGTATGAGGGAGTGTATTAAGGCAGCCAATGTTATCAGTGCAAAGGAGAGGACATCAAATAAGATTTACATCTGGCTTTCTATAAACATGTGTATCAACAACATTTCTGCGATTGGTTTCAGACACTAAAACAGCATATATTCATTGTTCAGAGTTGAGTATATTTCTAAACATAATGTTGCGTGTTACAGAGACTGGACATTGTTGTCTGTGTGGGGAGAATATATTATGGTTATAGAGTAACCAGGAGAAAGGTATGGTTCTGAAGCACGAGTGATTATAAAGCTGCATTTCAATAGAAGTAATTTGTTTTGTATGCTACTTCGTGGATAATATATTATGTTGTAGATTAAACTAATATTTAATAGGATAATTCCATATGAAATCATCAATCATCCTTACCACATTTGATTTCTACAAAAGTATCCATGAATGTTTGGCCATGGGAGAAATGGATGTAGTGCCATTTCTGGACCAGAGTGCCCCCCCCCCCAATCAGGAGATTTTTCAGTTGATTTCATATGCAATGACCCAAAGATATGGCAAATGATTCTAATAATAATAATAATAATAATAATAATAATAATAATAATAATAATAATAATAATAATGTTTGCAATTCCCATAGTTTGACTGATTATAACGACCATAGCAACCATTCATGCTCTACTACTGGGCTTACCACATGAAGACTACAATTTACGACGTTAAGAAAGGAAGAACAAAAACCTTTAGACTTTCAAAGTCTCTCTGGTATTTCTCTCTCAGGCTGGCCACATCTCCTTTCAGATGCTTGGTCTCCAGTTCGTCCCGCATGGTGTCCATCTGGGTCTCCAGCTCCTGGATCCTGTCCTTCAGGACCACTATGGGGTCCGTCGCCGCCCTAGCCTGACCCTCCTCCCCCTTACCCTGCTCCTCTTCCTCCATGGGCCAAGCCTGCTCAGTGGACGGGGTGACCTCCTCGGGTAGTGGAGACTGAGAGTGGCCTGACTCAGGGCTACTATCGCCCTTGCTTCCACTATCCTCTTGTTCTTGGATGGAGCGGATGGTCTCTGTGTAGTGGGCATGTAGCCTCTGGATCTCCTCCTGGTGGACCTGCTGCAGCTCTCGGATCTGCCCCTGGAATTGCTCCTCCAGTCTCCTTAGGTGGCTTTCGTGGCGCTCCTCTATGGTGTCCATGTCCACCAACAGGACTTCCAGCTTCCGCTGGCTGTCGGCCGTGGTCTCCATCAGGGCCAGCTCGGTGGAGGCCCGGCCCTGCTCCGCCTGACTCAGCTCCAGTTGGTGCCTCTGCCTCAGCTCCTCAGTCTCCCTGAGGAAGCGCTCCTCCAGGAGGGCCAGCCGCTCCTGCTGCTGGGAGAGCTGGTCCACTCGCTGGCCCATCTCCCCCCTCAGGGCCTGGTTCTCATCCTGGAGGGAGGCCACTGTACAGGTGAAGCCCTGGCGCTCCTCCTGCAGGGAGGCCTCGTAGCGCTCCCGAATGGCACCAACAGTGCAGGCGTGCTCCTGGACAAGTATGTCCATGCTCTGGCCAGCTTGCCGATACCGGACCAAGTCCCGCTCGTGGTCGGCTTTTAGCCTACAGGCTACGTAGGCCACCTGGGCCTGGATAAGTGCCTCACGCATGCAAAGGGAACCACCTGTGAGGTTGTGGATGGTTTGGTACCTTGAGTTTGCTTGGATAATATTGGCTAAGACAGGATGGCTTCCGCTCTCAATCGCTTGGGAAAATCTGTGGAGGATAGCTGCCTGTCTCTCTAGCTCAGCGGCCAAGTTGTCTCGCCCAACTTGCAGAGATTCAACAGAGTCAACGCTACAAGATGGCACGTCTCCCGCTAAGTGTCTATCCACTACTTCCTCAGCCAAATCCTGTGCCTCCTCCATTTCAATCTGCTCCATATAGGGAGCCAGTTCAGGAGGACTTACATCAGGTAAACTCTGCTCCTCACTAACGCCAAACTCATTGCTGACGTCTTGAATGACTTCTCTCAAATCAGGTCTTTTGGGAGCTTGGATAATCTCTTTCAAAGCAGATTCCCTTTGTTGTAAGCTCCCATGGGCTTGGGCCAATTCCCTTTTGAACTTTTCCTCATAAAAGCTCTTAAGACTCTGAAGAGAGTGAGATAATTCAGCTTTGACACAGGTGTTATAGATAACAGTAGCATCAGCCTCAAGGGACATACTAGCCACTGTTGACTTGACAACATCTGTGCTTTCTCCCTGCATCAATTCACAATGTGACTCCATTTTCTCCACCTCTGCCCAGAAGGCACTCTCTAACATTAGCTTACTGGTCAAGACATCTGCATAAACAATTGCCACGCAATCGCCATCACCTCTTTTGATGGTCTCAGTCTCTCTACATATCTCGATAAGACCTTGCAAAAGGTCAGAGTCTGGATTCTGTATTAAAAAAGCCATCTTATTCAAAACCATTGCCTCTAAAGACAGTGTTTTGGCAAAGAGTCGTATCGTTTCCTCATCCGATGCTTTGCTCTTGTGAATCTCTTGGGCTTGACTTTGTGTGACCTCTGACGGGTGCTCTTTCCATGTCATCCCGTCCTGTCTAATGTACAACGTTGCACTAACTAACTCATTCTCGATCTCAGACAAAGTGTGGAGCTGCAGGTCTGTACTGCCCTGGCAACGACTACTGAGGATACCCCTGACTTTCTCCCTACTGGACTCTACACAGACTAGGGCCTTAGCGTATTGGTGCTTAGCAGCTGTAATCTGACTAACTGGGCCAGGGAGGGTACTGCTGGGCTCCTGGAGCTCTGCATCAATCCCTGCACAGGAGCCTTGTCCCTCCAGCAGATCCTCTGGCTGGTCCACCCGCTGCTCCTCAAGCTTCTGGGTGAGGTCTCTAAGCTTCTCCTCTGTGGCCAGAAGCTTGATCTCCAGGGAAGTTATGATGGAAATAAACTTCTCTGGGTCGCTGCAGTACTGGAATGTAATATCGGAAGAGTTGGTCTCCATAGACGGTTGGAAGTCTTGGCTGATCTCTTGGCTAATCTCTTTGCTTATGTCTGAGGAAGTGTTGTCTGCATTACTGGTCTCCAGGTCTTCTGATTGGATGTATTTTTGGCACTGAATGCTGGAGAACCGTATTCTCTGCCTTTTTGCTTGAGACTCATCACCATCTGAGGAGCTCTTCACCTTGGAACCCAAGTCAAAGGTCTGTGAGGAGTCTGTGTTCGTTGGCAAGGAGTTGGAGGAGGACTGGCCCCTTTCCTTGGTTATTTCCCTAGCATGGAGAGCCCCCTCCTGGGCTCGTTGGCGTTCCATCCGAAGGTCAGCATAGCCCAGCTGCAGGGCATTGAGGTGCTGCTCCAGCTCTGCAATGCGGTCCTCTGCCACCACCAGCTTGGCCTGCAGGTCTTTCTCCGCACTGCAGGCTTCGCTCTGCCCCCTCAAGCCTTGGCCCATCTGGCAGAGCAGCGCTTCCCTGGCCTGAAGCCTCTGCTCTGTCTCCTCCAGGCTGCTGCCCAGGGCGGCCATCTTGATGAGAGCCTCGTTCAGGTCCTCCTCCTTGCGCTCCACCAGCCTCTCGTACATCTCCTTGGTCTGCCGTATCTCCTCTTCCTTCTCCTGGAGCACGCGGCTGATCTTCTGGAACTCCTCCGACGCCCTCTCGTAGGAGTGCTCCAGGGTATAGTAGTCGGCCTCCTCGGTTTCCAGCCGGCTACAGAGTTTGGTCACCTCCCGGTCTGCCTCAGAGATCTGGTTGAGGAGCTCCTGGCAGCGGCAGGTCAGCCGGCCCTTCTCCTCCTCCAGCCTGCGGACGCTCTCCCTCAGCGTCTCCGCCACATCCGTTGTCTGGGCCAGCTCCACCTGCAGCCGCATCACTTCCTCCCTGACCTCGTCTCCATCCGAGGCACGCATCCCCCTCAGAAGAGCCTCCACCTGCTGCTCCGCCTCCTGCAGCCTCTCCTCCAGCTCTTCCCGCCCAGCCTCGGCCTCAGCCAGCCTCCGGGCCAGGCTATGCCTCTCCCTCTCGTGGCTTTCCTGCAGGGAGCGCTGCTCCGCCCTCATGCGCTCCTCCTTCAGGGCCTGGCCCTGCTCGGTGGCGCTCAGCCGGCCCGTCACCTCCGCCAGCCTCTCCTGGAGCCTGTGCACCTCCCTCAGGTGGTCCCTCTGCAGGGCCTGCTGGCGCTCCAGATGCCTGAGGGCCTGGCTCCTCTCCAGAAGGCTGGCCTCTACCTCACGGAGCCTGTCCTCGCTGTCCCTTAGCTGGACCCGCAGGGTGGCGTCACTGTGCCCCCACTCCTCCTCCTGCTCCCGGGAACGTTCCTGCTCCAGCTTGAGTTCGTTTCTCATGCGGGTCCACGGACTGCTCGCTGGCCAGGATCTCAGCCATGGCAGAGCTGAGCTTGGCCTGCAGGGCCTGGATGTCAGCCTCATGGCGTCCAATGGCGTCCTGGGCCTCAGTGTAGCTCCTCCTCAGGGTCTGCACCTGGTGCTGGGCCAGGTCTTGTTTGCGTCGCTGGGCCTCCAGATCATTCTGCAGGTCTTGGTTGAGCTTGTGCAGGCGTTGCCATGGCACTCTGTGTGGTGAGGAGGAGGAGGGGGGCGAGGTGCCGCTCTTTAAAAGATTGATGAGACAGTTTGATTAGTGACATCTTTTATTTACCCCCACAGTTACGGTGAACCACATCTCTGGGGCTATGAGGAAAAACCCAGGAATTGCATTCCCATCTCAATATAGATTTGATATATTTTGATATCTTTTGAAAAGCTTTGTCCCAAGCTTCCCCACTGTGCTTTTTCAGGGTGACATCAAGGGTGAAAATGGAAAATAACTAAATATAATGAAGGAAAAAAATGCTGGTGAACATAAAGTGACCGAACAAAAGACAAAACATACAACTGTGAATAGATGGTGAAACTAAAATGAGTAAAATGGTCTCTATTGCCCCTGATATTTCAACTCATAAATAATGTTGCAGGAAATAAAGTGTGACTGTGATGAGAAAACTATCAAATGTCCAATGTGCCAGTACAGTGTGGCATCATTACATGTATGAATGTGGGAACATGAACTGTAAATGAACAAGGAAATTAATGCAACCATGCATACTCCCAAACCCCAAAAAGTCATGCACAAAAACAGGCTAAGAGGACAGGACGACACGAACGACAAGAAACAAAGAAAAAGCACAGCGCAAAGCTCCTCTAGGTTCTTACCTTCAGCATCAATCCAAACCAATCATTTCCCCCAGTAGATGTGAGACTCCGTAAAAACAGTTAGTGAAAAATCATGCTGAGAACACCACAACCATGCACATCTGTTTTTAAGACTAAGCCCCCACACCTGTTAGTAGAATTTCACGCACAAGTCATCGAAGCCACACACGCAACATCTCATCCACATCCTCACGCTATCTGTTTATATTACGATAAGTGCGAACATTGCCTTCGATTGTAAATACTGTAGCTCACGCTAAAGATGTTCAGTAATGTAATATACAAACTGTGAATACGAAACCCTGCTGTGAAAACGAGCCAGAATATCAAAACGATAAAACCCCTCCAAACATGAACTCACAGTAAAGGGCATATCATTGACAATAATTTAAAGCTACATGATTGGTCATCTCTCAAGCTATAATAACCGCCAACTAACTAAAACTAATATACAACTAATCAGAAGTGATCAGTTCCTGTTGGTGTGTGGTACCTGTAGTATGTAACCCTCCCTGGCACTGTGCTCTCTCCCCCTGGCATCTTCCAGCTGCTCCTGCAGCAGGTTGTTCTGCTCCTGCAGTCTGGCCAGCTCTTTCTGGGTCTGCCCCAGCTGCATCATACACATACATTAGAATATAGTATGGTTCCTCATTATAATGACACACAGTAGAATATTGAAGCTTTGGCCGGTGTACATAAAAGCCTACCTCTTTGTCCAGCAGGGCAGCTAGCTCCTGTGGGGGTAGTCTCTCAGTGAGGCAGGCGTCAGTGGTGCTGATGGGCACCTGCTTCTCCTCTCGGAGCGGCGTGGTCTCCACCTGATGCCACCGCTGCTCGATCTCCACCTGCACGTCGGGGGCTCTGCCGTCCCTCTCCCCGCTCCCCTCCGCACCTGGCTCAGGGTGGCCGACCTCCATCCTCCCCTGGTCCTGGGACTCCCCGGGGGTCCTCGGTTCGGCCCCCACTGCGTTTACAGTGGTGGTCATTGTGGTGGTAACTGTGCTGGGAGCGTGGGTATTCTGCTTAAAGCGCTGCTGCCTTTCTTCCCGTCGCCGCGCCCGCTCCTGCTCTGCCTCCTCCCCGGTTGCCAAGGCAGAGCCCCGGCCAAGTGGAGGGACCGAAATAGAGGAGGAAGTTGGGGGGGAGGAGGTGGAGACGGGGGAGGACGCCAGGGAAGAAGTGGAGGAGGACGAAGAGGAGGTGGAGGAGGAAGAAGCAGAGCTGAGGTCTACAGTATCTGGTGCTTTGTCCCTCTTGGGGTCCTCAGTCTGCCCGGGCTTGAATTCGGACCAGTCGTACGTTTTGGAGCGGCCTTCTCGCCTGCGCTCTCGGACCCGGCTCTTGCGTGGCTCCGAGGCAGGGACGGCGACCGGGGCAGGAGCGTGGTCTCCAGACCTCTGAGTTTGGACCACCCGGACCTCCACCCGGGGGCTCTCGGGGCTAGGACCGGGGTCAGGGCTGGGTTGGGGAGACGGATGCAGCACCACCCGCCCTCTGGCCTTCTCGTCAGGGAGGGAGCTGAGGACATGGGAGGAGTGAGAGAGGAGGAAATGAATGGAGAGGAAAAGAGAGAAAGAGGCTGGTTAGTGATGGCTTCAGACACTCAGTACTGGTGTTAAGACAATCAGCATGTTCGAGAGGAACGGGCCTGAGCAAGGATGACTGTGCAGAATCACTGACCTACAATCATCTTGCATCCCAGGTAATGACTAACGACGTGATCAATGCTGATACTCTCAAATGCGCTGAAGAAGCCCATGCAAACTCAGCTACTCACACTGCTACAGAACATTAACTATTCACTTACAACAAAACATCTGTGTGCTCGCAAAGTAAGCTTAAACAACAACAATGAGAGGAATACATTGGGACATTTTAGCACTAAAGCAGTCTGGGAGAATTGGACCAAACTGCAGTGAGTGCATGATGGGCCTCAGGTCAGATTTGGCCTTTCTCTTTCGTAAGACATGTCTGTAATCCGAGACTTGAGCCAAGCGCACTGCAGTTTCTCAACTTTAGCCGTTTGTGCAGTAGACGAGCGGGGAATGTGGTCACAGTCATCTGCACACTGCTTGGCATTCACTGAAACTGCGATGGGGAGTGCACACCTAAAAAAGTGGGCTGACGGAAAAGTCTATTTCCATCATCATGTGGTGGTGGTGGGGGGGGGATGGGTCAGAGGAATGGGAGAGGGGTACAATCCAAGAATATGGAAGAGGTGTCCGCGAGGTGTCTACGCAGGAACGCCCAAAATATCCCACATTCCTGTTGAAGGAGCCATAAGTGAGTTTTCAGTAAACAGGGGTAAAACCCTATACACTAAATCCCAGTGTTTCCCCTATAGTCATTGACTGGAAGTCTATGGGAACAGCTAGCATGTCATTGCGCCAACTCCCCTCCCCCACTACCGTTGCCACCACTGCTGAAAAAAATCCTAGAGGAAACACTGAACCCAATACAGAGTCCATAGGCATCTGAAGAGCCCCACCGAAAGACAAGACCACTGGGCAGAAACACTAGCACAGGGAGCTAAATGATCCGAAAGCAACTTCCGTAAGATATGAATACTTCTGTTGCTGCGATACATATAGAACAGTGTTTGCACCAGGGTTGCACTGACACTCATCTCTCCTCGGGCTCCAACTGCCTTTTCATGGTTCATCAAAGCAAATACATACTGTAAGTGTTACCATATAAACTATATGCCTCCATCTCTAGTTTTTTCTGTTCTTCAATATCTCTATACATTATCTTTTAGCAATCTACAATAGTTTTCTACGCTGATCGAGCCAAGTAAGATGGATGATTATTTCAATTGACTGATGGAGTGTGTACTGCAGCAGCAGTCTTCCTGAGCAGCACTACTTGGGAGACATTACTCAATGTTCAGGACACAGGGCGGGGACAACAAACACGCAGGCAGGCATTACTGAACCATTACATCACTGGGGGAGGGGACGTGGATCAACACACAAGCACTCCAACCTGGGCTTCAGAACGGACAGTTTCAGAGAGACGTTTTTCCTGGAAGCAGAGAGGGTGGAAATACCAGAGAAGGAGGAGGAAGAGGAGGATGAGGAGAGAGATTAGCGAGAGGAAATAAAAGTGAGGAAATTGTTATGTCGGTCAGTGGTGGGTTTGTTGACACACTTTCTCTCACGCTCTGTGTGTTGGTCTTACCGGGTGACATCGGGGGGAGCGATGGTGGGCCGCACGTTCTTCATGATGGCCTGAATCCAGTTGCGGCGGATTCCCGAGGTCATGGCCGACAGGGTGCACGCCCCCTCCTTACTCTGGACAAAGGGAGGGCAGGGCAGGAGAGAAGGGCATGAGGGGAGGGCAGGGCAGGACCCACACAGTGTTACAATGGCTAGCTGACAGTGATGACCAATACTATTTAAGATGCACTCCTCTCGACCAGTAGTAGCTAACTAATAAATAATGTCAGTAACCAAAATGTCAGGGAGCAACCTAAACTCATCTCCACTGACTCCTGTCCCAAATCTTTTGTGTTCATTCCCCATCTTTAATGCTTTTACACCATAAAAGGCATCTTATCCCAATGACTGCACACAGTGAATATAATTCATAAATATAATGAGGGTCCTCTTTGGATGAGATCTTTCATAATGAATACGATGAATGAACAAAATGAGTGCACTCTCCATCCAGGGCTTCTACTGGATGTTACATTCATTTACATCATTCTGTTTTGTGGTTCCCCCACTGGGTCAAGCCCCATTCTGGCCTCTATCCGATCTGCCTGTGATGCAGATAGCTAAAGGGTGTTATAAATACTGGAGTTATTAATTTCTTGTCACTAAACCTGTGTTGTTCTCAGCCAAAGAGAGAACGATCTGCTCCACTGCTCTATTTCTAACCCCCCGAACAGAAAATAACCAGGGAAGCGCCAGGAGAGCAGACGCCAGCTCCAAGCCAATGTAAACACAACAACCCCCCCCACAGCAGAAATGACATGGATGTCTATGGATGTCATGTGTCCATGGGGCCTAACACTAACTTCAGATCTGGGTGTGTCTCCCACATTGACATCAATGCTTGATTTGCGAGAACGTTTCGGATGTGGCCCATCGCCAAGGGATCAAGATTTTGGCCTATAGTCAAGGGAAAAGTTGCATCACGAGGTAATCATCCTCACCTTGCTCCTCCTATCGAAGGTCGTCTCACATTCTATCATGTGTGCCATTAAAGCTTAAGGCGAAAGCATTCAAAGCTATTTTTAGAAAAAATGGTTTTCCAAAACACGCAGGCGCCAACATTGAGTAAGCGCTGACTTAAGACCAGGTTGGTCTTTTGAATGAGCGAGGTTAGACAAACATGTTATTCAGGGCCTCCGGGTGTTGGGGTGGTGGCAACGTCTGTGGCAGACTTAGAACCCTTGATGCCACTCTCTCACGGGGGGATGACAGGTCAAGTGACATCCCTCACGATGGGACAAATACATTGTTCGGAAACAGAAATGGCCAAACCCAATGCCGACGGCAATACCACGTGTCGTCAATGCTGTTTTTAGAGCGCGGGGTCACAGCTGAACGACAATTTGTTAGAGATGTGAAAGGTATGGACCATTTTAGGTTTGATCAATGGTACAGAGGAGCAAACCATAAACTGACAAGGATTTGGAAGCCATAGTTCCTCTGCACTGGGAACTCTGTGACATCATAACAGGTGGACAGGTCAATCTCGCCATCCATATCAGCAGCCTGGAATAAAACAACAAAAAGATCAACAAAAATGTCAAGGGCGAATTTAACATTACATTGCATACATTCTTGAGGGGAGAAAAGGGTATTGATGTATTATAGGGAGCCTTACCTCCTCAGCTATTGAGTCCCTGTAGTATCGTAGACTCTGGTCTGTGAGAACAAACCAGTGTTTCTTCCACTAGAGGTAAAATAACATTTGCTAGTTTTGTTAAAGCGCACTCTCCTACTTAAATCCATGAGATACGTCATAAGGCACGGCTAATAATTTATCAACACAATGATTTCTGCTAATAAAGTATATTACCATCCCATCCTCGTATAACTTGGTCATCCATCCTTTCTTGAAATTCAACAGATCCGGCTACATTGAAAAATCACAACAACAATAGCTTAAATTCATGACACGTGATTTACAACTAGCTCATGCTCATGGCTTTCACGATCAGTGTTCGCTGCTTTATCGGTAGTCATTTACGCATAATATGTAATAGCTCCCAGCTAACAGCTAACCATGTAGCTAACAGATCTTTGTCCAGAGCCAGACAGCTCACTGCAATGCTAAATGCTCCCAATAAACTGCCAACAGCTCAGCAGCTAACAGCTAATAGCTTTTCAGTCCACAGCAGACTGCCTAATCCTCAGATTCGACTAATGGCAACAGTGGCCCACCCACCCCAATAGGGACCTTTCACTGAACCCTGAAATACAGTAATCTTGCAAATGCATAAAAACTTTATGTTGACATTACGACAGAACTGCTACGGTCTTTAGACGTTCAAAATAAAACCATTTTAAGTCTCTACTCATAATTAAAAGCTTCTACATTAGCGCTATATTTATATTAGACTTGGATTCATTCAACTAATACAGCAAACAGCGCAGACAGAGAACCCCTTCTATGGTTTCATCCAAAGGAGACTCAATGAGTGACCACTCGGTCCACAACAAGCGAGCCCTTCTTGGCCAAACTGTCACCATTCAAACCAAGAACGTCTGCTGTTAGACCGCCAGAACTAAACTTTCCATTTTGTCAACAAACAGGAGCTGTGCTACGTCCAACCCTACCTTGTTTCTGTTGATCTTCATCAGGTGTGGCACGGCCACAGTCTGGTACAGACTCATTAACACACTCTCACTCTCTTCCACTTGACTCCCGCTCTCCCTCGCTCTCTGTGTGTCTTTGCACAAAAAGCTGGCGCTTTAACACCCTTCACTCCAGCTATTTATAACAGGGGGGTTTGTGGGGGGGGGGGCTATTTTGGCAGCTGCAGCTCGGCCATACCAACCACACGTTGACAGGAGGACCCCTAACACCACCCCGGGACAGTTCCCAGATCAGATCTAAGTAACACAGATCCATCTATGTAATCTGTTAGTAAAGTAACCTAGGGTAAGGTTAAGTAACCTAGCGTAAAGTAACATAACCTAGCATAAACTAAAGTGACCTAATGTAAAGTAACCTAGCATTAACTAAAGTTAAGTAACCTAGCATAAAGTAAAGTGAAGTAACAACCTAGCACAAACTAAAGTGACCTAATATAAAGTAACCTTGCATTAAGTAAAGTGAAGTAACCTAGCGTAAAGTGACGTAACCTAGCGTAAAGTGACGTAACCTAGCGTAAAGTACTGCCCAGCACTCACAGTCATGGAGGACTCGGTCACTCGGCGGTCCAGGGACTTTGCCCTCCGGAAGTTGGAAGAGCAGGACACATCAGGAACACAACACTCCTTCTCAGCATCCAATGACATCTCCTGAAAACATATAGGGTCTACATGATATGACTCCATTGGCTATGAAATATTACTAAACACTCATTACAGCTCATTCGGAAAGTATTCAGACCCCATCACTTTCTCTACATTTTGTGACTTCACAGACTTACTCTAAAATTGATTAAATTATTTTTTTCCCTCATCAATCTACACACGAAACCGCATAATGACAAAGCAAAAACAGGTTTTTAGAAATGGTTGCAAATGTATAAAAAATAAAACACAGAAATACCTTATTTACATAAGTATTTAGACCCTTTGCTATGAGACTCAAAATTGAGCTCAGGTGCATCCTGTTTCCATTGATCATCCTTGAGATGTTTATACAACTTGATTGGAGTTCAATGGATTGGACATGATTTGGAAAGGCACACACCTGTCTATATAAGGTCCCACAGTTGACAGTGCACGTCAGAGCAAAAACCAAGCCATGAAGTCGAAGGAATTGTCCGTAGAGCTCCAAGACAAGATTGTGTTGAGGCACAGATCTGGGGAAGGGTACCAAAAAATTTCTGCAGCATTGAAGGTCCACAAGAACACAGTGGCCTCCATCATTCTTCAATGGAAGAAGTTAGGAACCACTAAGACTCTTCCTAGAGCTGGCCGCACGGCCAAACTGAGCAATCGGGGGAGAAGGGCCTTGGTCAGGGAGGTGACCAAGAACCCGATGGTCACTCTGACAGAGCTCCAGAGTTCCTCTGTGGAGATGGGAGAACCTTTCAGAAGGACAACCATCTCTGCAGCACCCCACCAATCAGGCCTTTATGGTAGAGTGGCCAGACGGAAGCCACTTCTCAGTAAAAGGCACATGACAACCCGCTTGGAGTTTGCCAAAAGGCACCTAAAGGACTCTCAGACCATGAGAAACAAGATTCTCTGGTCTGATGAAACCAAGATCGAACTCTTTGGCCTGAATGCCAAGCGTCACGTCTGGAGGAAACCTGGCACCATCCCTACGGTGAAGCATGGTGGTGGCAGCATCATGCTGTGGGGATGTTTTTCAGCGGCAGGGACTGGGAGACTAGTCAGGATCGAGGGACATATGAACGGAGCAAAGTACAGAGAGATCCTTGATGAAAACCTGCTCCAGAGTGCTCAGGACCTCAGACTGGGGCGAAGGTTGTCCTTCCAACAGGACAACAACCCTAAGCACACAGCCAGGACAATGCAGGAGTGGCTTCGGGACATGTCTCTGAATGTCCTTGAGTGGCCCAGCCAGAGCCCGGACTTGAACCCGATCTAACATATCTGGAGAGACCTGACAATAGCTGTGCAGCGACGCTCCCCATCCAACCTGACAGAGCTTGAGAGGATCTGCAGAGAAGAATAGGAGAAACTCCCCAAATACAGGTGTGCCAAGCTTGTAGCATCATACTAAAGAAGACTCAAGGCTGTAATCTCTGCCAAAGGTGCTTCAACAAAGTAAAGGGTCTGAATACTTTTTATATATATATATATATATATATACACATTTGCAAATCTTTGCAAAACAATTGTTTTTGCTTTGTCATTATGGGGTATTGTGTGTAGATTGATGAGGGAAAAAAACATTTTAATCCATTCTAGAATAAGGCTGTAAAGTAACAAAATGTGGAAAAAGTCAAGGGGTCTGAATACTTTCTGAATGCACTGTAAACTACTGTACTGTATTCACGTAAAGTGTAACATGGTTATCTTCATATTGACATCAACTGAAAGGTTTATGATGAATGAGAGTTCTCTGTTAATTGGATTATAGGTTTTCTAATGTTAATGACAGCTAATGTTAGGTGCCATGTATAGTTTAACACACCTAACGACAGCCTTGTGTCACATTGTGTTGGGAGGGGGTACATTACCTGTTTGCAGGCAAGGGAGCGTCTCTCGCTACGCCCCTGCCTCTGGACAGACACGGTATTGGAGGGGGGCTCCGAAGGGGAGCTGGTGTCCATGTGTTCCACACCCTCCCCATCCCCTGACTCAAACTTCCCTATCACCTGAGAACGCCTGTGGAAAACATACACAATGCCGTCAGCATCACATTCACACACACACACACACACTTGTTATCATGAACAGTATCACATAAACAGCATGACATAGGGGCTTTGAAACTTCAGCTATGCATCATTATCTCGTCACGCTGTACTTAAGTGACGGTATTTTGTTTCCAATAAACAACAATTAAAATATGAGGCTCTAACACATTCAAACTCCTGCTACTGAAACCGTCTGCAGCCATTCTTCTTATAAAGTCATGTTACTTTTCAGTTGGCCATACTTCAGGATATAACACACAATCAAATGAGCAACAAAAACAAAAAGAGCAAATCCTCTCGAGGTCTGTGCGTTAACTAAAGAGCAGAGCAGAACTATGGAGGCTGCTTTGTGCCAAAAATCAATAAACATCAGTCTGGTTTGATTGTAAGAATATTTGGATAAATGACTACATTGGTTAATAATTTTGGCACAACACATATTCCATATAGAGAATGTGTAAGTGCAACTAGAAAAGGAAATGGCCCCCAAAAGAATGACAGAGTATGATGAGCATAGAGTGTTATGTGGAGAGATCAAACTTCAGATGGAGAGGAAGGGGAAGGAGGATCATTGTAGGATTAAGGACCATATTCCCAGGAGCAGCAGCAATGGCAGCATCAGCGTTAGCCAAGGAGACTGGACCAGGTGTGAATGAGTGAGTGTGAGATTGTCTATGAGTGAGTGAGATTGTGAGTGAAATTGTGAGTGAATGAGAGCGAGAGCGTGTGAGTGTATGTGAGTGAGCGTGTATTTGTGTGTGTGTGTGTGTGTGTGTGAGGTGGAATGAGAGAAAGCAGTAGTCAGCGGTAACCAGCAGGGCACAGCAGCAGCAGGACAGGGGCGGAAGGTTTGGGAGGGCAGATTTTCAGAAGCTCCTGGAAGAGATGAAACAAAAAACAAAAACAAATAGCAAAGTAGACAGAGCTGGATAGAGGGGGAAATATGCATGCAATAAATATATGTTTGTTTTAATTTGGCTCCAAGAAAGCAATGCAATTATAAACAGAACCGCCACAAGAGGATCTAGAGGACTACTGCCACTAGGTGGTGCCAGAAGGCCAATACAGCCCATGAAGATCATAGTAATTGAATGTAGTGGAGGGTAGGTTCAAAACCAAACACTGAAGATCGCATGCGTGACTACATTCAATATACTCAGTGGGGTTATAAAACAATGCTATGTGTAGTGTGTTTGACTGTTTCTACGTGCATAAGTTAAATACAGGTATGTGTGTCATCTCAATAGCCTCACCTGCGCTCCAGCCCAAACAGTCTGGCCACCTCCTCCCGTCCGGGGCTGCGTGTGCGAGCCCTCAGCTCCGCCCTCTTCTTGTCCGAGCGGAAGGCCTCACGGTGGCTCAGCCGGCGTGCCCGTGGCACGTTCGACAGCACCACGTAGTCCTTGCCTGGTCGTTCCACTCTTCCCCCACCACCACCACCTCCAACATTCCCACCTGCCCCGCCTTGGCTGTCCCAGCTCAGGGCATTGCTGCTGGGCTCCGAGTCAAGGGAGCTCTGGGAGGAGCTGATGGTGGAGTAGCTGGGGGAGAGGAGGGCGCCTGGGGAGGGGAGGGGGTCTGAGGAGGGGTAGTACAGGGAGGTGTTGGGGTCCGAGGGGAGGTCACTGGGGCTGTACCTGTGGTGGAGGACGCCGAGGGAGGTTGAGGTGGTCAGGGGCAGGTGCTGGGGAGGCTGGGGGGGCTGGGGGGGCTCCGGTGACTTTGTCTTCTCCAGGGAGAAGTAGCCGCTCTCCACTCGTACCTTGCGTCCGCCGCTCAGGGAGCTACCGTCTTGAACCACGCAAACAAAGCAGAGTAAGCGACAGATTAAAAATTTTTTGGGCAGAAAATACATAAAGCACGTACACTACATGGCCAAATGTATGTGGACACCTGCTTGTCGAACATCTCATTCCAAAATCATGTGCATTAATATGGAGTTGGTCCCCCCCTTTGCTGTTATAACAGCCTCCACTCTTCTGGGAAGGCTTTCCACTAGATGTTGGAACATTGCTGCGGGGACTTGCTTCTATTCAGCTACAAGAGCATTAGTGAGGTCGGTCACTGATGTTGGGCGATTAGGCCTGGCTCGCAATCGCCGTTCCAATTCATCCCAAAGCTGTTCGATGGGGTTGAGGTCAGGGCTCTGTGCAGGCCAGTCAAGTTCATCAACATTGATCTCGACAAACCATTTCTGTATGTGCTCGGGGACATTGTCATGCTGAAACAGGAAAGGGCCTTCCCCAAACTGTTGCCACAAAGTTGGAAGCACAGAATCGTCTAGAATGTCATTGTATGCTGTAGCATTAAGATTTCCTTTACTGGAACTAAGGGGCATAACCCAAACCATAAAAACAGCCCCAGAACATTATTCCTCCTCCACCAAACTTTACAGTTGACACTATGTATTGGGGGCAGGTAGCGTTCTCCTGGCATCCGCCAAACCCAGATTCGAACATCGGACTGCCAGATGGTGAAGCGTGATTTATCACTCCAGAGAACGCGTGCATTTCCACTGCTCCAGAGTCCAATGGCGGCGAGCTTTACACCACTCCAGCCGACACTTGGCATTGCGCATGTTCATCTTAGGCTTGTGTGCGGCTGCTCGGCCATGGAAACCCATTTCATGAAGCTCCCGACGAACAGTTCTTGTGCTGTCGTTACTTCCAGAGGCAGTTTGGAACTCGGTAGTGAGTTTAGCAACCGAGGACAGACAACTGTTACACACTACGCGCATCAGCACTCGGCGATCCCGCTCTGTGAGCTTGTGTGGCCTACCACTTTGCGGCTGAGCCGTTGTGGCTCCTAGACGTTTCCACTTCACAATAACAGCACTTACAGTTGACCGGGGCAGCTCTAGCAGGATAAAAATATGACGAGCTGACTTATTGGAAAGGTGGCATCCTATGACGGTGCCACGTTGAAAGTCACTGAGTTCTTCAGTAAGGCCATTCTACTGCCAATGTTTGTCTATGGAGATTGCATGGCTGCGTGTTCTATTTTATTCACCTGTCAGCAACGGTGAGGCCGAAATAGCCGAATCCACTAATTTGAAGGGGTGTCCACATACTTTTGCCCATGTAGTGTACATGAACACAGAGCGGGGATATCAACATTGGCGTCCAATAACTCCCTTGGATGTTGATTACAAACTAAATGACTGCTATGCTGACACCCAAAAAATGTATTGGCTTTGGTGAAAGTGTGTGTCCAGTCTTTCCTCACCCTCTCTGGTGACGCTGGACCCGGGGTGGCTCTGGGTCAGCTGGCTGAGACAGGAGGCGCTGCGGCTGCAGGGGATGGTGGATGCCCTGCTCCACCTCTCCTCCTGCCACAGGGTGGAGCGGCTGGCCGGCACCCGCTCTGCACTGGCTATACTGCTGGGCAGGCAGGGGATACTGCCCCCGCTACTGGTCACTGTCACCTTGGCTGGGCCGGGCTCCTGGGGGTATAGGTGGGGAGTGGGAGAGGGGGAAAGAGAGAGGTGAAAGGGAGAGAGAGGGAAAGACAAGAGTGCAAGAGGGTTCAGTGGAGGAAGAAGGAGAAGAGACACAAACGCAATCGTTACACATGTCAACATTGAAGATGAATCCTGACCATCTATTGAGTCCATGTGTTCAGCATCTCTTTTTTGGGGGAGCTTTTTCATGTATTCCAATGACTAAGAGTTCCTTTAGCGCTGTCAATAAAAGTTTAGCGAAGAGACAGTATGTACAAAGAGTATTGTTTCACAACAGCACAGATTGACAGACTTAAGAGGGATGGAGGGAGGGGCAGAGTGAATGAAAGAAAGAGAGGCAGACAGACAGCTCAACAAAGAACAAAGAGCTCCTTCATGGCAGTCCCACCTGTGTTGTTGTAGAGGACAGAACAGACAAGGGAAACATTCTGTGGGATAGAGATGTGACGACTTATGCCGACTTCATACTTAATGTCTCCAAATGCTTGTTAATAACAAGGCAGTATATTTACTGTAAAGTCCCATACGAGTCTGCTCATTTATGGTTTTTACCAATACCTGCATTCAGTACATATAGTACACATACACACAAAACAAATCAGTGTTGGCATGTAATCATGGTTAATAAATGGTAGACAGCGAGTACATTTGATTATTCTTAGTATTTTGCGATACTGATAATTCCTACCTCCATCTGCACCTCCCTTTCCTCCTTTCCCTGCGAGTATATTCTTGGGATATGTTTAAGGTAGAAAAGCAAGGGTCTATTCAGATGTCATTATCTCTGGCCAATCCCCTGTCAAACAGCACACATGGAGGCATGCCACTGAACTCTGAATTACTGCATTTGAAACAAGAAAGATGTAAAAAGAGTATCCACTTTGATCCCCCTCCACCTGCATTGATTGGGATTAAGGATTGAGAGTGGTATTGTGTAGCCATTCAGGATTTGAAGTACATCAAGTTTGGCTGAACTCACAGCCTGTCCGTTCATGTCTCCGGTGGTTAACTGACAACTTGGACTTCGTACACCCTGCAAATCACACAGAGCCTTTGCAGTTAGGGGGTGGATCTATTGGGCAGCAGGTAGCCTAGCGGTTAGAGGGGTGGGTCAGTAACCGAAAGGTCGCTTGTTTGAATACCCGAGCCGACAGTGAACAATCTGTTGATGTGCCCTTGAGCAAGGCACTTAATAACTACTATGGCTGACACACTTCTTAGCAATAACAGTGAGTCTTCACAGTCAGGTGGGCCTGACAACTGAACCCTATGGGGGTCCATTCCAGAGGTTGGTCTTCTCAACAAGGTTGAAGATTCTTGAAGCCTGGAACAGGACATGGAGCCACTAATGCCCTGCCAGTGTCCCCTTGCCATGGCGGAGCAGATTTTCTTACCTCAAAGTCCCTGCTACTCAAGACTTTATAGCAAGGAGCAAGGGTTTGGAGGATAATCATCACATTTCTGTCCCAATAGTTTTTTTAACTAGAGAGGACCATAGAAAGACCGTTTCTGGGCACTCTCAGGAAAAGCCAGCAACACCAGAATGGCCTGTCAAGCTACAGTGGACTTAACTTCTCCTTGTTAGGCGCTGTTTGCCTTGGAGCCACTTCCCAGAAAGCAAACAGATGTTTCTCTGTGCCTATGTATTTACAGAGCAGACAAGAATCTCCGGTGAGACACGTGTAAGTGGGTAGAGAGGTTTCAGGTGGAAATGGCTTTTTAGCACTGTTTTTAGTAAGGGGGAGGTGGAGACACATTCTTACATTGAATATGCACATATGTGACAACCTGTTTCCTATAATTACGCCCTGGTACAGAGATCAGTCAAACATCACTGGTCAGCCTTGGCTGCGACGATGACGGAAAACGATCTGGAACCTGCAATGAAAGCGTCATCACGCTCTCAAGTAAACAACCTTAATTACATGGCTTGGCCTTGACTCATTGTACCGTCTATCTGCAAGTGGCTCCACCAGAATGTCAATGAGTGTCATTGACTCAACACATACCATGCTTGTACATACATATAAAAGAGAAGTACAGAAAGTCAGACAGACAGTGTTTTGTAGGAACAAGCAATAACTCTGGCCCCCACCGGCGGTATTTCTGATCCAGAGCACTGTTAACCCAGTTCTGGCCCCTGCATTTGTTCTGGGGTTTCTGTGCAGAATGCTGCCAGCCAGCACCAGTAATTACTGCTACTGAGTGGGTAGAAGGAGGGCACAGAGAGAGGGGGCAGACAGAAAAGCCAATTAGACAAAACAAGACAGACAGACGGACAGGAGCTACACTCACTGCTGTGAAGAGCAGATTTCAGCAACACAGGACTTTGAAGGCCAACATGGCATAAAAGTGAGGGTCACCCCTCTGTCTGTGTTTTCCCTTAAGCAAATGAGGCTGTTAGTGTCTACTAGACTCAGAGTGGGGGTCGGTCTGTTTCGGTCCACTGCCATTAGAAGACCCAGACAATGAGCTTCGGAGCCAGTCTCTGCCCCGCCACAAATCTGGCATCACATCAAAATGAAAGGAAGAAAGGAAAATAACAAAATCACACCACAAAGTGTGTGGTCCATAGAAAAGGATATTCAATACCATTACTTCATCTAGTCATTAAAACCTCTATTACCTTTGCGTTGCCCTCTTTTTTTAATGTATCTAACAGAGAGAACCTCTGTAGTGGCTGAGTAGCTCAGTTGGTAGAGCATGGTGCTTGCAACGCCAGGGTTGTGGGTTCGATTCCCACGGGGGGCCAGTATGAAAAAAACAAACATGTATGCTCTGGATAAGAGCGTCTGCTAAATGACAAAAAAAATTAAATAAGCATGTCCTGACATGGACATTTCATTTAAATTCCCCTCAGGGCAAAAGTGTCCGTCATGTTATCATACAAGCCTCTTAAATTCAATGCAATAAGATGACTTCACACAAAACCATTATGATTCATCTTAAGCTACAGTGTACTGGTCCTATATCCACCATACACCCTGTTACAATAGGACCCTTCAGTTTGTTGGAATACATTATACAATAGGGCAGCGTTTCCCAAACTCGGTCCTCGGGATCCCAAGGGGTGCACCTTTTGGTTTTTGCCCTAACACTACACAGCTGATTCAAATGATCAAAGCTTGATGATTAGCTGATTATTTGAATCAGCTGTGTAGTGCAAGGGCAAAAACGCAAATGTGCACCCCTTGGGGTCCCGAGGACAGAGTTTGGGAGACCCTGCAATAGAGAGACCACATATCCAATACATTGTCCAGTATACAGTGCTTCATTAGAATCTCAGAGTGGAGGGCATGGTACCTGAGGAGTGGGTGGCTCCACTTTGCGCTTCTTCTTCTGGTTCTGCTTGTTGGTCCGGGGATAGACCGTCAGGGCCTCCTGCCATCTGCAGAGACAATCAAAAGGGGCAAAAATCACTCATTAGTGACAAACATAAAAACTAGACAAAACTCCAGACTGATGGTTCCCAAACTTTTTGGTGATGTAAGACCCATCAATAGGTTTTGGAGTTTTCCCATGAGCCACTGAATAAACAAAACCACTGTTCCTAGACGTGACCCAGTCACGACCCAAAACAAACAGGCTGTGACCTGCCAGCTGGTCCTACCACTTGGAAACACTGGTTCTGGTCTGTGAAATACAGTACATGTATGTCTCAGACACTCATCACCAATCAAGCCATCGTAAGGCTAAGTTCACCGTTAGAACCTCCATAGGAGCATCATTAAATCCCTGTGCCATTTCCCAAAACCATCGTTACTAAAGTTGCACTTGAAAACCCTCATTTACCGATTGCTTCAGACCACTCGAGGAACAGCTAAGTGCGTCGTTAGATGCTTCTTTGCCCTCCCGCGTCACTTTATCCGCAGATCTCCGATACCTATGTTTATCTGTCACCTTTGTGACCACAGCTACAAATACAAAAGTTGTCAATGTCTTTGCAATCGTTACAAAAAAGCGAAGGATAAAAATATGCTTAAAGTGAAAACCGAGATGACTGCTTTAAAATATAAATATAGTAGGCTATACAGCCTAGGCCTATATATTTCAAATCATATTGAAATACATTTCATGTTCAATTAAATAAGTTCTATTTTGCTAATTGTAGGCTACTGTCAAATGTATTGCCTCAATATATTTCATAATATAATGTGTTACTATATGTGCCAAATCTGTGATTTTGTGTATTATTATAGGGTATGCATTAGAATAAGCCATCTCAATATTTGCAGCCATATAGGTCTCTAGAAGATGATCCGTCATCAGTATTGTGGAATAATTATAATGTTAAGCTTAAGTTCCATCACTAATTGGGAAACTGGGCCCAGGTAAGTACTGTATTTGGGAGACCAATGTCTCATTCTTAACACCTAGGACTTCATCTACTTCTTCTGCCATGGCATTCTCTAATATCCTCAGATATACTGAATTACACATCCACTAATTGGCTGTGAGAATCACCACAATGGACTACTTTCAAACCTTGAGGGACCCCCCCGCCCCCACAAAAAAAAAGCCTTCCCACAACAACAACTAAATACAATACTCAGTCTGGATACAGAAGGGGGGGTGTCCAGTGTTTGTCGTCAATATTTCCCCCCCCCCATCTCAGACAACCTTGACGGGTGGCATTTCAACACCAATCCAACAACAAATTGAATAGTAGAGATCTAATTTCAGTGTACTACTGGCATTAGTCTTTGCCAACTAGTAAAGATTAGCCTACAGATTAAGATTGAGAAAAAAAAATTCAGGATGTCATTGAGTGTGCCAAGATTGAGATTGACTAAAATGTTAAATGTTTACAGCTGTTTTTACAGCTGTTGTAAAGTACAGTATATAATCTGCCTGAGTGGTAGTTAGAGATTGAAAGTGAGTTTTCGTGTTGTCCTCATACTGTATGTGTCAGGCCTAATACCCCTCTATGGAAGACTGGGTAGCGTGGTGGGGGAAAAGCCAGAGGCTTATCCAGACCATGAGAAAAACAGAGATCCTCTTAAACTGGGTGTTTGTTATTGGCCCAGCCCCCACCCATCAGATGGCAAGTACACTGCCTGGACCAATATGTTTCCAGGATGGCAGAGAACCAGGTACAGGGGGAGGGAGGGGTCACTGCAAAGTGTGTCAAGAGGTGGGTCGTGGAGGACTTTGCAGGGGAGGGCAGTAAGGTTACATTTACATTAGTTATAAAATGTGGGGCTGACGGAGAAAGACGCGTGGGAACTAGGGAGGTGTGTTAACAGTGAGGACAGTGTGTTGGTTGGTATGGGGACATAAGATGGTAGCTAGAACAGGAGAGTGTTCAGGAGGAAGGGAGATGCTAGCAGAGCAGTGCTATTGTGTCTGTGGATGGACAGGAGGTACAAGGTAGGGCAGTGTATTAAGGGTTAAGGGTTGGTGAGAGGGCTTAATAAAAGAGTGAGGTAGTGAGTGAATGATGGAGATGGGAGGCAGTGAAGGAGGCAGGGGACACTGAAAGAATGTGCACTGTCATTGCAGTGCGAATTAGGGAGAGTACTGACTGCACTAGCCTGATTGAGACAGCAGGGGGCAGAGCTGTTCGGACAGACATGAAACAGCACCCACAAGCCTGTGCAACAACACTTTCTCCAGCCATCTTTTCCTTTCCCTCTCTCTCTGACTGGCTTTCGTGCCACAGGTTCAATGAACTCTAGGACAGAACTCCAGTATTTCAATCATTGGACGCAATGACTTCCTCTCTTACTCTTCCCTTTATAGGTGAAAGCAATATCACGGATGCCTGCTTGTGGCTCAGGTTGATGTTTATTGTCATGAGTCTTGTCCTGGAGGCAGAACTAAGTGATTTCCCCTTAGATAGGCCAGCTGCAAAGTCAAAATTGTCTATATTGTAAAAATTCATGAAAACGTTTTGGTCTTCATTTCAGGTTAAGATTAGGCAATAGGTTAGCAGTGTGGTTAAGGTTAGGTTTAAAATCCGATTTTAGGACTGCGTGGCTGTGCCGGATAGTTAATACTCTGAAGAGCTGCCTCCAGAACAAGATTCATGATGAAAAATGCTAACCTATGCTTGTGCATCCACTTGTCCAGTACTTGTCAAAAGACATCCACTGAGAACAGTACAAATATAAATGGGAGAAGGAGAGGCCGCCACAACAAACCAAGTAGGTAGAGGGGGTTGTTGTTGTGTGGTGATGTTGCCATCTCCCTCCTACCTGCATTTAGTTTTCCTACATTGTGCCCTAGTCAGCTGCATGTCTTACCCGTTGATGATCTCGCGGCACTCGGCCCGGATGAAGTGCTCTCTATCGGGGGTGAGAATACACAAGGAGTTCTTCTGGCCCGTCTTGGACTCCCCGTCGATGACGTCAGAGCACTGGTTCATGTTGATGGTGCCCTGGGGCAGCGTGCTGGGCTATAGGACACAGAGAGGGAGACAGGGCAGGGTCAGATAGAGCAGTAGTGGGTCACTAGCACTGTAACCCCCCCTAAAATCTTTTGAACTTTCTTGTGACGCACCAAATAAACAGTTCCTAGGCATAGCCCAATTTAAAACCATAGGCCTTCAACCCACCATTTGACTATCACTAAGTGAGTATAGTTAGTATTACAAACATATGAACACACACACACACAAAAACAGATCAATGCAGATGTAAACACACCATATAGACATAATGCTAGACACACCTGGGTAACAAAGCTCGCATACAAACTCAAAACATCTACAGCATGTTGTTTTTGGTGCCATTGATCTCCAGAATTTCCCACACAGTACTGATCTCGGTTCCGCTCTCTTGTTAACATTGCAGGGTCACAGGATAACACAGGGAGGGTGAGAGCGTTTATTTAATCCACTCAATGATTGCTAGCTGTGCTGCATAAACAGCTATGCATGGGTACATGGCTCCTCTATCATTTAACCTACACAAACAGCGGGACCACTGAACTAGCCAAGCAACAATACTGGTAAGTGAATGCTCACCCAAACAGTCTATCTTCTATACAGTTAAATGCAAATACACTATGGGTTTGTGTGGTTATGGCTCATTGACAGTGAATAGTGGAGTGCCGACATGACCACAAACAGAAAAGAGGCACCATCTGTAAATATCTTTCACAAAGTCACTTTGTATAACACACAGGTTACAGAGATACATCAACGTCATACAACTCTTCCCAATCATGCAAACATCAAAACAAACACATGTGGACACAAACGCTACCGCAAGCATTTTGGAGAATTTGGCTTTTAGTCAGTCTGACCTTCTCCTGACCTTAAACCGAGCCGGAGGAGATCAACTCCGGTACGCAGCGGGGTTTAAAGGACGTGACTGACGAGTACTACACGTATACAACCAATATACAACCAATAGGAACAAAGACCACTGGCAGCAACGTGGACAGCCCCAATCCCCAAGCCCTTCTCTACTCAAATCCACAAACAAACAGGCAGAATTACAGGCAGCCAAAATGCCACTGAGGTCCTAAGCATCAGTGCAGAAGACCCACAGATGATGAATTACAACCACCATCGATCCTGAATTGCGTCGAGAGATTAAGTGGGAGACCAAATTAAAAGGTATCAGGGTCAAGTCAGCTAGAGATTACAAGATTACAGAAGCCAAGATGAGCAGGATAACCCTCTGTAGCTCAGTTGGTAGAGCATGGCGTTTGCAACGCCAGGGTTGTGGGTTCGATTCCCATGGGGGGCCAGTATAAAAATGTATGCACTCACTAACTGTAAGTCGCTCCGGATAAGAGCGTCTGCTAAAATGACTAAAAAAATAACCATGTCCGGTCAATCATTCAGCAATTTAGCCCTATTGAGGCTCTTTGATGTGGTGAAGAAAGTCAATGACTGACAGTTTATGGTTATCCCGCCCAAAAAGCAGTCGGGAGGCTCCGTTTGCCCTATCCCTACTGTTATGGTCCCTCTCAATTAATAGAGAACTGTGCTAGAAGGGGCATGTGTGTTTCAGCTGACTGACTGATGTACAATTGAGTTTTCTCCACAGAAGAGTTAGCCTAAACTTGCAGAGACCTAGAATTAGACATTATGATAATCCTTGATTTCTCTGTGCGTCTCGCCTGTGCCTCTGCCCCTATAAAACCCTGTTGTGTGTGGAAGGGCTCTTAAGTCTGAGGTGAGAGGCCAGCGCAACAGCCGGATCTGACAGACAGCTGGGAGAGAGGGCCTGTGCCTGCTTCAGAGAGAGACTGCAAAGAGACTGGCGTCAGCTTGACCTGAGAGCCCTGTCACTCTCAGACATTAGAGAAAAGGGGGAGGGGGTTGAAAGAGAAGGGAAGAGGAAGAGAGAAATATGGGCTGTTTACAGTATGTCATAGGATACATTGTAGAATCAATATTTTACAAGGCGCTTCTGTGTACACTTTCAGCTCCAGCGACATAGAGAGAGAAGGATGGAGAGGGAGCGAGAGGAGACAGAATGCCATTGGAGGTAAGGCCATCTGTCCATGTAAACAAACACGTGTGTGGGTCCTTGGGAGGGGTCAGGAGAGTATAGGCCAAAACAATATTACAAATTCTGTGGACAGTTTTCCAAGCCGCTTAAGATCTCAGCTTTAAACTCAGAGCACAAGATTCTCTAGAGACATAAAAATGTTATTTTTTTGTATTTTATGTAACAATAATCCACAACATTGAGTTTGTGATGAAAAATCACTTTCATAATACTATTACAGCACAGTGGGAGATATAGGATTTGGAGGACTATTGGAGGCGGAGCTTTGACCCCGAGCAGTCAAGCACGGGACTCCTCTCACACTTGATTTGATTTGATGTGCAGTCTCCCAGCCCTGTCAGCTGAGTACAGTACAGTCCGGCCTTTCCACGGACAAGCCTCCAGCCCCAAGACCCCACACGCCCCCCAGACCCTTAGCAGAGTCCTGTTCCCCTCTCCTGGGCCGTCACGCTCCACAATGAGCCCTTTGTGGAGCAGCACCAGCATACACACAATGTACGATTGTCAACCAGCACCACCACAGCCGCCCCCCTTTCCTCCTAACGAGGAAGTGACCAAGATCTGACCAAGACACAGAGAGACCAAAAACAACACTGCTTTTGTGCTTGGGTGCATAGATGTATGCTAACATATGATAAACAGGGTAAACAGTTTCCTGTCTCTCGAGATGTTCAGACAATGTTGTGATCAGTGGCTCCACTTGAGGCGCGACTCAAGTGCACACATTGAGTCACATTGTGTGTGAATGCGTGCGATTTCATTTAGGCCCTAGGCACAATTACTTTGCACAGTAGCTACGCTAAGTTAAGAGTGGGTGCAGGTGTGGTCTTGTTATACTCTGTGCCAGTGGCTATCTCTATGCACGGCTAATGTCTACTTGGATTATCCCAACAGTGCTGCCATGCTAACTCTCCCTGAGTTACACAACAACAACAGGCTAATCCAGGGTGTCGGTCTCTTCTCTGGTCTGAGGACAGTGACCTGCCACGCTAAACACACACTGTAAACTGTAAACTTCTCTTTTTCTATTTCACACAGTCTGCCTCTTCTCTGTAGCCTCCCTCCATCGGTCTCATCGTCCCTCTATTCTCTCATTCGGTCTCATCGTCCCTCTATTCTCTCATTCGGTCTCATCGTCCCTCTATTCTCTCATTCGGTCTCGCCCTCTTTGTTATCCATCTCCAGATGTTGTCCTGAGTAGGAACTGAACAGTGGTCAATTAGCGGACGGATCATTCTCTGATTATGACACACCCTAATTATGGCCGCAACACAAATAGAGGCCATGGCCTCAAACCTACACCCTAAGACACGGAAAAGCAAAGCCAAACAGCCTTGTTCTTTTGTCCCTATTGGCATTTTGGAAGAGAGAATGTGTTTACTTTGGCAGCTTGCTGTGTGCTTTACATTTTTTGGGTTGGAGGCTAATTGTGTTCTTCTGCGATGCTGGAGTCTGTCTAGCCTGGTTTAACCAGACTGAAAGTTCCGCTCAAGTGAAACAATGTTGAAATGTAGCGAAGTCCGTTTGGATTCCAGGCAAGAGGCAGTCTACTTCTGAACACAGAAATTAGAGTCGGGGTAAACTCACTCAATTAGAAGAACATGGGAGGGATTTACACTGTATTATGTTGCATGTCATAGTGTTATTGATTGCTATGGTCTGTTCCAACAGCACTAGCATTAATGCTGTTGTTGTTCACACGTAGGATAAATGGAAGAGGGGTTTCATTTTCAATATCAGAATTGGCAACAATAACATGGGCATGTCATTTCCCCCGATGGTCATTTCAAATTGGATTACAGTATTGTCTGTTGATTACACTATAGATTACTACAGTGTATATTGTTTGATTATTCAGCAAGTATTTTGTTGAACAGCTTCCACATTCAACTCCTGCATGGACTTCATTCCTTTGAGATTTAGCCTTCTCCTTCCAACATCTCATATTCTTTCTTTGTGTTAACCTTCATTGCGAATAAAATCAAAACCCCCCAAAAAATACTTCCTCTCCATTCAAACCCATTTTGAAGTTGATTATAAGAGAGGAGTTAAATCAATGGGTGTGCTGAAAACCTGGCACTACTAGAGAAGTCCTGACTGAGTCACGAACATGGATTTGAAGCAGGTCCATTTGGGGTTCTACTTCCGGTTATACCTGATAATGCCAATTGCACAATCAATTGTTCCTTGGAGACTTAGAACAACAAGGGTAAACACACACACACACACACACACACTCGGTAGACACGGTTGAGCAAGCCAACACCAACAGCTACTGGGTGCCAAAGAGATGGAGTCATATGCTTCTTCATTCCAGAAGAATATCAACACCACACCATGAAGGAAACAGACCAGGTGAGTTGACAGATTGATATATTATCATCACCGAGATTACGATCACCATATCTTAATGTCCTGTAGTTTCCATGTCCTATAATTTCACTCCTCCAAAACAGTGAACCAATACACCAACATAATACTTCCTTTGTATATATAAATCAACTTAATTCCCTGACCTTGATGCTAACCCTAACCCCACCCTTAGTATCAGCCCAGCCAGACAGAAGCCTCCATAAATCATGCTATGCCATATGGTGGATATCAGGAGGTGCTGTCAGGGCAAGTATACCCATCCAGACGTTTGCTCACCTCACCCTACTGGAATGTGTTCAGGAGGTTCAACTGAACTCTATGATTACAGTATAGGACTAATGGTGCTTTCAAGACACCTGGGAACTCGGGGAAAAAATGAGGTCAAATCATAACGTCAGTGATCTTCAGGTCGGAAAGTCGGAGCTCTAGAAATTATGCCAGAGTTTCCAACTTGGAGTTCCGAGTTGGATGACTGTTCAAAACTATTTTTCCCAGTCGGAGCTAGTTTTTTTTACCCCCTTAAAGGGAGTGCTCCTAATCTCAGCTTGTTACCTGTATAAAAGACACCTGTCCACAGAAGCAATCAATCAATCCGATTCCAAACTCTCCACCATGGCCAAGACCAAAGAGCTCTCCAAGGATGTCAGGGACAAGATTGTAGACCTACACAAGGCTGGAATGGGCTACAAGACCATCGCCAAGCAGCTTGGTGAGAAGG